GCAGATCAACACCACTTTTCCTGTACCTTACCGCGGTCAGGCCACGGAGATCGAATGTTCCTTCTTACTCGCCAGCCCCATATTACACACCCCATACTACACCAGCCCCATATTACACACCCCATACTGCACCAGCCCCATATTACACACCCCATACTGCACCAGCCCCATATTACACACCCCATACTACACCAGCCCCATATTACACACCCCATATTACACCAGCCCCAAATTACACACCCCATACTACACCAGCCCCATATTACACCAGCCCTAGATTACATAACACCATATTACACACTCGATATACACCAGACCATATTGCACACCTCAACAAGGATTATCATAATTATATATACCGTCCCCATAATGCACCTCTCCATATTTGCCAAAAATAATTCAAAACTTATCTGATCCACCAGTTTCAATCTTACATAATATCAAGTGCAAGGATTTTTTTTCATGTTAATATTGGAATATTTCATTGTTTCTCAAAGCACGACATGATGTTGGGAAGAATATATTTCCTTGAATTCATCCTCGTCTCTCCAGAATGCAGTGAGTCATGCAGAGATCCAGTCCCTCACTCAAGAGAAACTTGATACATGAACTTAAGCCGCAAAGTATTGACAGGTCATTTGATTCGGAGAGAAGCCACTTTTCACTCCCACTCTTGACCACGTCACCTATTCATACATTGCACTTACAGTAGTGGTCACTGGAGACTATTTTAAGACTGGAAATCCTGATTGATATTTGCTCTAACTGTGAGACTTTGAAGCCATTTAAATGCCTCTCACCAACACCTTCAATTAAGGTCAGCAAATTCAGAATAGAGCATGAATCAAACCTAACATCTTTCTGCAAGTCTCAATACACACCAGCTGGTGCATTTACGCAATGAACTAATTGTTACGATAACTATCTTTAAGTCGTCTGAAAGCCCTTCACAGAATTTACTGAAGTGCAGTGACTGTATTTATAGGCAAACACAGGAGTCAATTTGTGCACAGTAATGTACCACGAATAGCCATGTAATGAATGCCCAGGACAGAGAAAAATTCCCTTCTCTTTTCAAATGGTTTCATAGGGTTGTTAAGGTTCACGAGAACACATAGATGTACCTCAGTTTAACACCTCATCCAAACCTGGCACACAATATTGGACTTGGGACTTCTGAAACATCAGTCACATTTTGTAAGTTTTCCTAATTAGGTCCTTCCACCACACTGAAGGCAGGTGTCCGTCCGACAGCTGGTGAAGAAAACTCTGGGGCTTAGGAAAATAAACACTGAAAGACTTTACCTTGACTGGATTTATGAACGCACAATCATATATCCAAGATTTGGTATCTGCCTTGTTATGTGGAGATTCTAGCAGCCAAAACTCGCTGAAGAACGGCGCAATCAATAGTGGCTGTGGGTAGGAGAGCAATGCTCTGATGTGTTTTATGCTGGGTTGTGCTGCTCATCTTGCAGGTTGTGAAGAGTTTAAAATATCTGCTATCCATCTAGTGGGGGCTCAAACCTCCACTTAACAGCTGCCCAATGATCAGAGTGACTGTCCTCCTTTGAGGGCGGGGGGGAGGGGAGGGAGGGAAGAGGGTAGGTAAGGATATACTACTGTATATGAATGCAAGTTGTGCCCAGAATAACGTTTATCTAAAGAACATGAAGGCTTCAAGGGTAAGTTGGCATAGTTCACACCTCACAAACCTTTCTGAAATTCTTATGAGTAAATTAAATATTTGGGAAAGCCAATACAATTTGTACGATTGCACCAATTCTATATTATGCACCAAGTAAACATGAAAAGCAGCTTATTCTTAGGATGTTTTGGCCTAAGGTGGAAACATTCCTTATGAGGATCGTATTCTCTCATATGCTCTCAGGCAGAACTTCACATTGTTATATCGCAGAAATTGTTTGTTGCCAGTCTTCCTAGTATTACAGCCTGCCCCCTCTGCACTTCTGTCACTATGCCCCTACCCTTGACCTTCCTGCCTCTATCCCTCTGCTTCACCCATTGTTAAATCCGACCTTAAACCTACTTCTTCGACCATACCTATGGTCACCTCCCACTCCTCCTTCGACCAGTTTATTGTTCAACACCGTCACTGTGAAGCTCTGATGGTATCCAGAGTAATCGGCATATATGAATACAAATTGTTGTTGTGGTACATTCCTCTGTGGTATTGACAGATTCAGATTAGTTCTTTCTGGCACGAACAAAAAGATTGCATTCATTAGGAACTCTTTAAGGCTTTAAAAACCAGAATTATGATACAGGAGCCCCCTAAAATTAATAGATTTTAAAATCCATCTGGAACAACTTGCATTTATTCACACCCTGAAGTAGTGTCTCAGAGCACTCAATAGCGGTGCGGCCTGACATCGAGCTGGGGGAGGGGAAGATGCCCGAAGGCACGGTCGAAGAGGAAAGTCTTCAGGTGGGATTTGAAGATGGGCAGAAGGGGTAAGTGGATGGATTGAGACAAGGAGTTCCAGAGATTCGTGGCTTAGTTACTGAAAACACGGCTGCCAATTTGGAGCGGAGGGGATGAGGGATGTGCAGCAGCCCCATGTCAGGATTGAGGTGTGACAGATCAGAGATAGGGATGTGGCAGGGCATGAAAAGGTTTGAAAGTGAGGATCTTGAAATTATCCATTCTGTAACAAGATTGGCAAGAACTGGGTGATGGTATTAAGGAGGCTGGTATGGCTAAGGACATGGTCAACAGAGTTAATAGTGGCACTGGGGAGACTGGCGAAATGTGCATTGAAAAAAATCGAGGTAGGAGGTGATGAAACCATTAATGGGAATTTCAGCAGCATTTGAAGATAGGGGCAAAGGCAGGCCATGTGATAGAGGTGAAGGAAAGGCAATTCTGGTTATCCTGGATGCAGGGTAGGATAACTGGGGATTGAACCAGACATCAATGTATCTACAAGTTCAGTGAGTCTGAGAGCTAGGCAGACAAGGTTAAGGAGTGAGAAGACGTTGATGGGAGCAAAGGAGGTTGGCTGCTTGTCCATGTTTACCTGCAGAAGGTTTGAACTCATCCAGGCCTTGATGCCAGACAAGCACATCAATAGGACTGGGGTCGTAACTAGAGGAGGAAAGATAGATTTGGGTATCACCCGCATACATGTGGACGTTAACCCCATGTCTGTGGATGATATCATCAAGAGGGAAGATGCAAATGAGAAAAAGGAGGCCAAGAGCCTTGCAGTGCACCATGGGTGACCTTGTGGGAGCGGGAGGAGAAAACATTAGAGGAGATGAAATGGTGGTGTTGGGTCAAGCAGGGTTTGAACCAGGAGGGCAGCCCCAATGAGGTGGATGAGGGAGTAGCGGTTGAGGATGATGGTATGGTCCACTGTGTCAAAAGCAGTGGCGAGGTCCAGGAGGACAAGGAGGCAGAGAGAGTCCTGGTCAGAGGACGTCACTTGTAACCTTCACAAGTGCTGTCTCAGGCCTGTGAGCAGGGCGGAAACCTGGAGAGGTTGAAGAAGTGAGTGGGATGAAAGGTGTGACAACAGCACAGATAGAAATCTTTAGATGGAGGACTTTAAAAGTAGACACTTTTAGATGGAGGACTGCTTGTATTTCATTTACAGTACTATTCTGAAGAACACTTTATAAGGTTCACAAGGTGATGGGTATTACAGGAACATTGCAGTGTTTTGTTTTAGAAGCACAAACTTTTAAAAATTGATTAAATAAAACAGATGATTTGAATTGTTTTTAATAAACCATGATAGTAACAGATAGAAGCTGTTTGCATTGTTGTAAAATGTGAGTGAATTTATAAATCAGTTTCAGTTGCCAGCGGGATACACAGCGATTTTGATTGAAAATAAGCATTGAAAATTTCACATTTCAGAAATGACATACTGTTTTAGTTCAAAACTAAAATTATACAAAGAAAAATAATCAAATTGAGAAGAGTAATTAGTTCATTACCCTATACACCATAGATTACCCCAGAAACCATCAAGTTATATACAAAATGTGGAATGTTGAATAAATGCAGCTCTTTTCAACCATTGTTACAGACTTGCTCAAAGTAAAGGCAATTGTTCAAAATACATCAGGAACACAGCATGATCATAAGGGACAGAGTTAAGTACAGTGGTTACTGCTGGTTTGTTTCAAATTTGTTGCAATCAAAGGGACATGTTCCAAGTACAGTATATACACTTTTTTTGAAGAAAAATCCAGTCCACAAGAAACCGTCTAAATAAATAACATAATAAATATGGGGAATTGTTTTTAAGACTTTCAGTTTGCTTTCACAAACAGTTGAATTGCAACTTACTCATAAGTTACAGAATTAATTGAGGGGTTGAAAAGGCAGTTATAAATGGGTAGATACTCAGGAATCATATAAAGGGATATGGAAAAAAGGCAGGATAATGGAATTAAATGATCCGTTGTGATTTAACAAACCGTTGGAACAGGTTCAATAGGCTGAATGGCTCCCTTCTGTTCCTACATTCTTAAATGATCCAGCAGGAGTTAAAGCACAACTGCCTTCTGTCGAGGAAATAATTATTCTTCCTCAGCTTTTGATAGAAAACAAAATGCAAAAACATTTCAGAGTAAATATGCGTCTGTCAAATGTAGGAATAATCTATATTTGCACCATATTAACTGGATCAACAGAATAGTGCAAATATTACTCCGGAGGGATTTTTAAAAAAAAGTAGTTATGTTATGCAACCATCTAGTTGATCTCATTATTGTCCTCATTTTACAGTTCCTGTTCACCTGAAGTATTAACACAGATTTAAATTTGGCTTCCTTTTTCCCAGATTATATATATATTTTTTAAAAATCACACTCAGTGATAATGTATCAGGTTATCATTGAATCTGACCACGTGAGACACACTGACTGCATGTGATGGTTTAAAATGACCTGAATTACGTTGTTCAATTCCCACTGATATTCTTCTTTATTGATCAACAATTCAATGAACAGTGTGCACACAACATGAAAAGGTTCAAAATGGGCACTTCTGTGATAATCAGCCAGGTTTTGAAATTCAATTTAGCTCAAAAGAATCTGCCATGCTCACCGATACAGGCTATTCACTGAAAAAATAATTTACTCTTATTGAACATATTTGGTCTATTACAATGTTAGCAGACAACTGAACAACATGATTCCCTACAAGTTTAAACAAAACACTAAAATGATTTTAAAACAGTTTTCACACTTAGAAAAATCAGGACTTAAATTAGAAATTAAAAACAAACAATAAAACCGGCATTGCAAGGTCACTATATTTGCAATCTATGGATATTGCAATTTAACAAGATTAGGTTTGCCATACATACAAAATGTAGGGAACAGTGTTAACCATCCTTTGTGATTAACATGAATGCATTATGAGCGGTTGCAACATTAATTTACTTCTATTGAATATATTGTCTGTTACATTATTTGCAGACGTGAACAAAACTATTCCCTTTAAGGTCAAACAAAAGACACTATTTAAAAAAAATGCTACTGAATTTTGAAAAGCAGATTCATAGATTAAATGAAATGTTAAAAATTTATTATAGAATTTGTGCTAAAACTGTACTACCTTAAAGGGAATACCACAACACAATGCTTTCAGTGATTGACTTGAAGCTGTTGTTATGAACTGCTGCAACATACAGAGAACAAATAGCAAGACAGTAATAAGTATCTTTTTTTTGCTACATAAAGAGATTTTTATTAAACCCTTAAAATTCTTTATAGATTCTGTTCCAACAAGAGGGAAATGGGAAAATAGCCTTCATGGTCAGTGTGGAGTATTTAAAGGGGTTCCTTTAAATAGTATTTAAATTGAATATTTTAGGGGTAGTCAACTGATTAACATTATGCTGGTACAGGTGCTTTATTGGGACTGAAATTTTAATTGGAAAGCGCAACACCAAATTCACAAAACCAGATTTCTCCATACAAAGTCTAAATATATGTATTGCTCCTCTGCACAGTTGAAATCACTGAATCAACATTAAAAATTTAGTTTCTGGTCTACTATGGCACTTTTAGCATGATACACATTGATCATTATGTATCACTATTGTTAATTCTATTATTACAGTAAAGATAGAAACATTTTAAGTGTTGGCCAAATGCACTAAGTAACAGCAAGTGTAATAAAATAACATTTCATACAGTAGGACAGGAAAGGCAGCAGAACCACAATTGTCTATCTTTGTAAAAGCACTAAGAAACCCTTTAATTAGACTTCTTTAAGAATCCAATTCACATTTTATGTATTCAGAACACCCTTATAGTAATATACCATCTCAAACAAACGGGTCTAAAATACCCTTCCCTTCCCAATCCAACTCATAATAAAAATATTCTCCATCATTAAACCAGTTTCACACATTACTTTGGTAACCTAGCTCTGTATTCAATTCTACCACATGCTCCAGCAAGGTCACTTAGTTGTAAAACTCAAACCATTCACTTACACATTCGTCTAAACAACGCTCACATATCCATTTCCCCATTTCACAGCTCCTGTACATCTACCCCAGTGGTTTCAGCATTTGTCAATTATACAAAGGTGATTAAAAATAAAGGCATACATCTATGGAACAGATAGCCCTGCCACCTGTCCATGAGCTAAAAATCAGTACTATGGCCTTGTACAATTCATTTAGTAATGTATAAGATTATCCAAAAATAAAACCTAGAATCTGTACAGAAAAGCACACAGGTTTTTTGTTCATATTAGAGTGATTTTGATGTTTACTATATTAACTTTCAACCCCGCAATGTTTGCTTCTAAAACCTATCCCAATTCTCGCATCCACACCCTTACTATTACACAGAGTGGTTGTGCCCTTTATACCAAAGCTCTACAATGCATTACTATACAGGCTAAATACATCTGGCAATTTTACCAGTCCATTGTTCCCTCCCCCTCCGTCCAATAGAAAGTGATATTAGTTGCATTTTTTTGCTATGGAATTGCTTTTTTTTTAAAAAACTGATTAAACTTGTCGATGTCTTCTATTTATCCAAGATTTCCAATTTTAGGATGCAATTTCTCGCAGGATAATTAAGTCCACTGTATTCTGGAAGGTTTTTAGTAGTGAAACTGCTTTCCCGTGTTCAATATTAATGAAATTGTACCCATTAGCCTGTAAAAGAAGTAGATCCATTAATAGCCAAATGTACATTTAAAACAAGTGCATGTACAGATTCAAGTTACTCAACTCACTTAATGCAAAACAATTAACGTGCACGGAAATCCTAATCTATCTCGATTTAGTTTGCAGTCAGTCCTCTAAAGGCAAATCATGCTAAGTTTGTTTGTTGGTTCCCTTCTAAAAAAAGTAGCTAAGAATACTGTAGCTAACAGTTCAGTTATTTGTTGTGCTGAATTTTTTTTTAATGTGAAAGTGCTTATGACAGCAATGGAAACTGATATGAAACGACCCTGAGACAGACTATAAGGAAAATCTGTATAAACAGAGAAAATGTGACAAGTTGAGAATATTTTAGTTCTAACTATGTGTGTAAATTCATTTCCCTCATAAAAGGTTGCCTTGGTAATTCTTGCAAGTCAAACCAGTTGCAATATTTAAATCAATTTTTTAAATTACTTTTATTTTATAAAAATGGATACGGCAGTATCAATTCCACTTTGCTCTTGGACAATAAGAAGGGTCTCTAATACTTAATTTTAAATGCAACTACTATGAATCCTTTTCCATTGTGCTGAATCTCCGTAGTTTGACAAGCTTAATCAGAAAGGGCCGTTAATTTGGTGGTGAATTGAAAAGAGCTGTTTCTCATCGACTTATAGTTAATGATAATTTATACCAGCCAACAGCCAACGTTTAAATTACTCTGAATAAATTACAGTATTGTGGGTTTGCTTTTAATGTGTTATGGAAAGAATATCATGGTCCTCAAAAGATTAACTCAATTAATTTTACACTGGGCAGACTAGCAACACAGTACCATTGCACCGACCAAATCTTTTCTGTCACTTTATTACATAGCGGCAGATATTTTAATCCCATATCCTGCCTTTGCTCATATTCATGAATATCCCTAATTACCCAGATGACCAAAAGTTGGCTTTTTATAGCATGGGAACTAGCTGGCACATGAGGAGCAAACACTGCATTATAATAGGAATCCACTGTATTTGAACAAATTAAACTGGTGTTGTTTAGGGTCTTCAAATACTGTATGTCACTTGCACATTTAATATACTGATCAACACAAAGTTTTCATAGAGTTGTGAATGGTGGTTTCACAAATCCAGGGTCTGAGGTGAAAATATTACAGTCATCTCATAGTTTACTGCAAATGTAAAAATTGGAGTTTTTTTTAAAAAAAATGCAGTGAAAAAGGAATAACTTCAGACGAGAGATGCTTATGAACTTTTAATATGGAGAGAAAATTTAAGGGAGTAAGCATTCATGTGTTAACAGTCAATCTGAGGCAAATTAAAATAAATTACCTGAATGATTTTATCTCCAGGCTGCAACATTTTTGAAGCTGGTCCTTCTGGCTGCACTCTGGTCACAAATATTCCCTAAAGTAATTGAAATCCATTTAAAATTTCCAAAATAACTGTACAAAACCTTTCAAGTCCAAAGCATACACACAGATGAAATAAGGTCTTGGGAAGTTAACTCTGACAGAGATTTACAAATGCATGGAAATTCTGATGATCTATGAAAGGGAATCAAAGCAAATCGCAACCAATGCTAATTTTATATTTTTCATTCTATGGCGCCGACTGCTGAAAATTCAACACCTCATTTCTAAAACAAAATTAAGAGTTGTTGGGAACACTCAGCAGGTCAGGTAGCTCATTTCTAATGCTGCCTCTTTTCCTATGGCTCTGTACTTCTGAGGTGGCGAGGTGCTTGCAGTTACATTTTCAGAGTTATCACCAAAGCACCAACGTAAGCTGGAAGATCTGTCTGAATATCAAGAATGTATGCAATTATCTAAATTCTAAAAAGTAAAATAAAAGGTTAATCATTTCAAATGAGCTGCTTAATAGCTGATTTTTTTGTCTGGTCAGCCAGGTGCCTTACACTTAATAGAGAGTGAGCTAGCACCATGCATGGGAGATTTACAAATGCATGGAAATTTCCATCTGTTTGGACTGGATTGTGCACTCTCTCCCAGAGAGATGCTTAATCCTGGAAAATATCAGACACAGGTTGGCAAGAACCCCAGCTTGGGGCCGCCAGAGTTTGAGCTGCTTGAGTTTAACCAGAGCTTACCATTGCAAACATAGACTGGCACCCTTCCAACAGCTTGTCCAGCTAGGACCATCCTGCCCATTGTGGTTTGGGCTTGTACGGTTGACAAGAAGTGGGAAGAATCCTTACCACCAGACATTGGCATGTTTCTAAAAGACCTGCTAATGAGCCAGGCTGACTGGTCCATCATTAACAGACTTGTCTGGCTCAGGAACTGACCACTGGGACCACCACAGAGGATCGGCTCAATTCTGATATTCCATTATCAGGCATGTTATTTTAGAGCCAACTCACCCCCAAACAGAGCCCACATGCCCCTGCCCTCTCCCCCTCAGGATGAACCAAAATATTCATAACGGAAGTGTAAAAAAAACCTAAAATACTCACTGTATCATCAGGTCTGAAGGGGTTTCCTCTACCTCCAATACCTCCAGATATACTGAAACCCAACTCTGGGTTCTTATCTATTCTAATGCGGATCTGGTTTGAGAAACAATAAAATGTTAAGAAAACTATCAAACTGGCAAATTAATTTGGTACTTAATTTGGTGTACATCTTGCACTTATATTAAAGAGTGTGTAAGAGAGAGAGAGAAAATGCATTAAAATACTTTTAATTTTACATCGGGGAATCAATTTTTACAATCAACCCAATTATAGCAATGGAAGACTACATTTCTCTAGATAGTATGGGCCCCAGTGAAGTGCTTCTTGCCAGTTTGAATTCTGTTTTCAATGGGCATAGCAAACACAGAAATGGAACACAATTTACACAAGTATTTTGAAGTAAATTACATTTAGATGGTATAATATAGTCTAGTGCTGCAAGACAGAAATAGTTTACAATAATTGCCAATAAGAACACATGAAAAACTGCACCACTTTAATAAAATTGGAAATATGACAGGAAAGGGAACATGCACACCTTGGAAATCTTTGAAACAATGGAAATTTATGTTGAAAAAAATTGGTGATTAATACCAACACATTGGCTCAATGAATCACACTCAATCAAGATATCAGGTACAGTTTCAATCCTCATTTATGCAAGGGTGGCAGAGATTCAAATCTCAGATACTGAGATTTTTATAAATACATGATTTCCTTTTACGCCAGAGGGATGCACTCTGTTTATGTACTCCCAGAGAATTTAGTTCAAGGTTGGCAAGAGGCACGATTTGGGAACCCCAGAGCAGTCATTAGGGTCCTGCTGGAGTTTAACCAGCTAAAACTGTCTATGATTGAACAGCACTGGCAAGGATCCTGCTGATTGCTGAGCTAGGACCAGCAGACTTATTAGGAAGTGGCTTGTTCTTTGGCTTGCTGGGATTTCAGAAAGCTGGTAGACTAATCCCAGTGATTGGCATTTTGGAGGATAACTCAACTATTAGTTCTTACCTCCTGCTGTACGATATCATGGGCTTGTCTCATAGAATAGTTTGAAGGCGCACTTTGTGTTTGAGAGTATGGAGGTTGGTGGGAAACTTTTAGCATTAGGTAGTCAATCAGTTGCTCCCTGGAAGGATGTCTCACAACATTTGCTTGGGGATGAGTATGGTGTGGTTGATTGTAATTCATTGGAGCTCTTGAAGACTGGTACATCTGCCCATTTGTTAAAGACACCTGGATATCACAGCAAAACAAAAAGTTAACCAACACTGTCATCGAAAATTGGTTTTAAATGTGCAGTCATACGCAAGTGATTCACGTACTGTCAAATCTATACAAGTTAGAATGCAATAAGAAAAATTTCAGTCGATCCAATTTGTTCTATCACCCAGGATTCGATTAGAGCAAGTCGTTTTTTTTACTCAAATACCTCAAATCTCAATCATTGTAATGTTTTGACAAATCAGAAAATCATCCAATTCCCTTTTGAAGTCTTTGAACAAGTCAGTGTTTATCCGCAGCCGGATTGGACCAAACAACTTGAAACAATGAAACACATGCTAAATTAACATATTTTTCCAATTTCAGACATCATCAACCCAAAGAGCCTGTTGAAATGCAGATGACATAACTTGTCATGAGAAAATGTAAAAAAGCAACTCAGTAATGCATCTCAGTCTGACCCGTGGGAAAATGCCTGTGTTCTCCTCAGCAAGTCTCTGCGGTGATGGCAGTTGAACTCTGGGGTTTGGCATTGTGGTAATAATAAAGCCGTCTGAACTTTCCATTGTGTTATGCAAATCTTTGCACCAAGGTTAACAAAACCCTGAATGTACTTTACAGCAGACTATTGTACCTCAAGTTAGAGTTTGCTCTTTTACAATTCCTAGCTGTGGTATATCCACAACAGAAAATCCATGACAGAGGAGCATCACATTAAAGAGAATTAATTACTAATGCTGGATTTGAGCTTGCACGGCTGAGAAATGTAAACCACACTTTCACAGTTTCTTTCCTAATCCTAACTTGTTCAGTTTTAACCTGGTGTATGAAATCTTTATAATATTGAACTATAACAGTGCAGATTTTGCAAGTCAAAATGTACATCTTCCTTAATCTTTTCACACAAATGTGAAATGAACCCAATATCTAAGAAAGCTCTTTCAATATTTGCTGAGGTAAAATAATAATAATAATCCTTGTGTTTGATATAATGCCTTATCACGTCATTGAGACGTCCCAAAGCGCTTCACAGAATACACTGTAAATTGGATTGACTATTTTGGCGGCGAAACGCGCCAGCCCAATTGCATACAGCAGTGTCCTACAAAGAGTCGTGGATTGAGTGACCAATTCTTTTTAAAAGGGATTATTACTCCCAGAAAGCAATTGGCTTCAATCACTTGAAGCTAAGGAGAGAGAAATCATTTGCAACGATTTATTCTCGGTCTCCCTGGCTCCACCATCCATAAACTCAAACTTATCCAATACTCAAGTCGTCTGCCAAACTCTGCATGCCTATCCCCATGTTCCTCACCAGGTTCTATGATATCTTTACCTCCCAACAGATTGATTTCAAGATCCTCACATATAAATTCCTGCATACAAAAGTACTCCCCCATCTCTCTGATCTTCTCCTACCCCATTCCTCTGATTGGTCCTTCTCCTCAACTGAGCAATCCCTGCCCTTTCTATACCGCCATCAGTGGCTGAGCCCCTAACATCTAGAATTCCCTCCACCTACCCTTCCATTCAAGCCCTTTCTTTATCTGTCTTTATCTCGTCTTAGAAACGTACACGTCTTCGAACTTGCCTATTGTTATCTCCCTCTCTCTACGCACCACCCTCGCCCCCAGCTGTCCAGGCTTTGTAAACTGCTTCAAGGAGCTATTGTATGCGAGGATCACTACATAAATGCAAATTGTGGTTGTTATACTAATTAAATGCAAAAATATTGCCTTAATTTGCAATGGTACATCCTGAATTATTGTTTGCAAAAATAACTATATGGAGCACAACTGCATGATGGATTAAATAAACCCCAGCAACTAATGGTGGATTAAATAAACCCTGAAATAAATGAAACAGATAAATATTTTCAAATTCATATTCTCAGGGCAACAATTTTCCATTGAAATGTTCCATAAAACACTGTTTAAATGATCATTTTGTAGCACACATACTTTTCTCATGCCATCTAGAGAAATGTCCTTGAGATTTAGCGTGCCAGATGAGTAATTCTGCTGTCCAGTACCAAATACATCATCTTGACTGGGATCCCCAATGCTGTTGGCTTGTGATGGATACTATAATTGAAATATGAAACAGCTCGTTAATTTTTGGAGCAAAATAGCAGAAGTCTGTTATAACAAGAAGCTGTCAAAATAGGCTGTAAGGCTTTTCATTTGAAAGAACACTTTACAATCTACAGGCAAAAATAAAGATCCAATGCAGCTCACCTAGTTATAAATTGAGAAAATAATACTTAATTTCATCAAAATTGCATTTGAAATTTCTTGTTCCCACAGATGAAACAGATGGAAAATGAAGTACATGTGGTACAGGGTGGGTCAGAGAGAGAAACTAAGACGACAACTGGAATAACACAGTAATGAGAGTTGCAATGACCTTCATTTCAGATACAAATAGAGAATGGTCTTGTCAATTTGGAAAAAGTTAAGGCACAACAATTTTAAAATGGCACACATTTTGGTTCCTTACTTAACGACTACAGAATTTACGAAGAAAACCATTTCCAATGAAACATGAGCAAAGCTGATGCAACAAAGAAGCTCCATTGAACATCATTAGGTAAAGAGGAACTGATCTTACTAAAATGCAGAAATGTATCTCAACCAAAAATCTTTAATTTGAATCACTTCATTCAATTGATACTGCTTACAAAATATGTTTGCAATAAGGTAGATACAGAGGCAGAAATGTATATTTAATCTGTACATGAAAGGCAATATGGAGTTTGTACACAATATTTCAATATTAGTGACGCAGATTGCTTGGAGCTTTCAAACAAGCCTTACAATTAAATTAGGTAAAATTATACAACTGTAACCATAAAATGACCCAATTAAAGCACGCTGCAAGATAGTCTAGAGAATAATGAATATTAGGAAGGAAACTCAGTAAAAAAAATGAGATTTCATTTTCAGAAAGTAATTGAAACTAAGCATTCAGATATTTGGGTATGTACCAATGCAATAATTATCTCTGCATTTGATATTGTGCCTATAATATCTCATAAATGTTTTACATGTAATTGCTATGAAGTGCAGTGACCATATAAGTGTAAGAATTCTTAGCAACCAATTTGCATACAAGCAATGTCCTACAAATATCCATGACATGAATGATATTGGCATGAAATCTGTAATGTTCATATGGATCGGCAGACGAGATCTCTGTTTAACCTCCCAACTCCCAACAATGCACTGGAATGTCAGTCTAGAGCTGTGAGTTTAAAGTCCCGATGTGGAGCTTGAACCCACAACCTTTTGACCCAGAGAAGAGAGTGCTATCAACTGAGCTAAGCACAGGCATAGAACCTATAGATGCACATTTCACATAAACAAAATAAACAAAACAACATTTTGCCCCTCTTTGTGGAAGGTGCTGGCCTATGTATAGTTACATGGATACTGGTACCTCTCTGGAGCATTGTCCAAAAAAACATTCTTCATACGCATACCTGGACAGCAAGTACTCGCAGGTACTTTGACCTTGGAGGGGATCACAGCTGAGACTGAATCTGTTCGGGTACGCACATTTTTAAACATGAATCACTGAATTGTGATCAGGACTGGGAACCCTGATTTTTTTCTCCTTCACTGGCCTGAGGTCAGAGGCCAATTGTAGTCCTGGTATCCTGGCTGAAATTAGCTAACTCATCACAAACTGGGAGTTCATTGTCAGATCTTACCAATCTATGAAGCTCAGTTTCAGACTGTGCAGTGTTTTTACCAACTGCACCATCAGTGATCTTCATGAGCCAATGTTTAGTAGTCAGATCTGATCAATAGTTAACCATAAAAATCCTCCGGGGGAAGGGGGTATAAGCGGGGTCTCCTTGGAGCTGAACTGGCTTCAATGTGACATGTTTGGCAACAGAATGTCAGTATCAAGCCAGCCCTCTGAGACGGTGTTGTAGTCCAGTTCCTGAGCCAGGCGGGCCCATACTATTCCAGGGCACTGCTGATGACAGAACAGCTATCCTGGTTCATCGGCAGGACTTGGAAGTGCAGACCAGTCACTTGGGGCAGGGAAACATCCCACTCAGTTCATGTTAACCCTGCAAGCCAAAGCTGTAGGGTGATTGTAGCTGGACAAGCAGCGGGAAAGCTTGCAGACAGTGATATCAATGGCGGTTATGCAGTTTTAGCTGGTTAGACTCCAGCATACCCCAACACACTCTGGGGTCCCCAAGCCTTGGCTCTTACCAACCTGCGCCTAATACTTTCCAGAATTAGGCAAGTTGGATGCGTCCCTCCACTGGAGAGAGTGCGCATTCCATTCCAACAATCTATCTCTGGAATTTACAAGTGTAGGTGGGATGCATGGAAATCTCAGCTTAGTTTGGGTACTCTTAAGCGTAGTGATGAATTTCTAAATGTATTAGATATCCTGCTGACCAAATAAATTCACACACATTCATAGTAGCCCGATGTTGGTACTCACGCGAAGCATGTGCACTCCAGAATTCCTTCCGTCTGCAACACTCAAGGCAACGTTGCCCTGGCTGTTATGCAGTTCCCTACAGCTTCCAGAGTGTATGCTGCTAAAAGCAGCATTACTGAAATTATACGATCTAGACAGCATGCTCTGAATAAAGAGGGACGAGAAAATTCCACAGCTTTAACATAGAGATTAGTGAAGCATGCATTAATACCGGCCATATTGCAACAGAGACCATGCCTTTTTCCTCTCGGGAATCAGAAATCATGCAAACATAAATAGCATGCAAACAGGAAACAAAATACACACAAACATTGCAACCATACAAGGGTCAGACGGTTAATTTGAAAAAGCACGAATGTTGGGGCGGGGGAGAAAGGAACAACCATATGAAAAAGATTATCTAACTTCCAACATAAAATGCTTCCTGCTTTTTGTTTTAAAATTGGTAGGACATCTTGGGTCATTATATTGATGCCACATTTACTGAACCAATCAAGAAAAAGTCTGACTCCTCCTAGTGGTGGTTACACAGCAATATTCATAAAGGGCTGGAACCGAGTTCCAAAACCAATGTCTCAACTGCTCCCTGAAGAATGGAAGGAAACACACACTCCTAAGTGTGGTGGAGAGCAATATTTTTAAAAGAAAAACACTGCAAACTACATTTTATCAACAGGGAAAGCAGGCACACGGCAATAACATAGATTTGATAGAGGTTTGAGGTATTCCAGCAATAAAGCATAGGCGTTATTTGAAGTTCAAGTGTAGGCATCATAGGGTTTTATTAACATCCGCTGAAGGTGTTTGACATTAAGCATTTGTCAGTAAACATGCAAAGGGCTGAAAAAGGCTCCCGACAGCTAAGAGTTTAAATTCCAAATGCCACCTTTTACTGAAATCGAACACCTTTTCTGACAAAAACTGAAAGCTGTTTAACAAGGAGTTATACTGAAAGAAAGTTTACATGCAAAGATGTTAACAAGGGATTTTATCCTGCAAAGTTCAGAGCATGAGTTTTGTGTTTTAACACTCCCCATTTCCCTCTGTGAATTATAGAATGTTGCTTCTGCAATTACAATAATTGTTCTCAAAAAACATTTACTGATATTTTAATTTTACTTCACAGAAAAGTAACTGAATTAAGAATTCTATAAAATAACTACCTGTACGAGATTTACATTTTTTTAAAAAAGGAAACCAAAGTCTATTGAGTACTAATTAAATATTAATAATAATAGTACTTGCATTTGATATAGTTCCTTATCATGCTGTTGAGACATCTCAAAGTACTTCACAAAATATATTGTAAAGTGGATTGACTGCATTTTGTGGGCGAAATGCGGCAGCCAATTGCGCACAGCAGTGTCCCACAAGCAATCGTGGAATGAGTGCCCAAATTTATTTATTTATTGAGGGATTATTACCCCCAGAAATTGATCTATCAATTGACTAATAACCATGTTCTTCTTACTGCTAGGTTGGAGTAAGGAAACTTGCCTAAGGTTTCGTCCTGCCCAGGAATTACCCGGGTTCTCTTGCTTGTGAAATGTTGAAAATTTGATAAAGAATTGTTGTACAGTTTTTATGAACAGTCAGATACGGAAGCAAACTTCTTGCATACTTGTTTGCAAAAGAAGACCAGAATCTTACAAAAACAAACTTGCTCATCAAATCTGATGAAAAAAAATTGATTTAAATATCAAAAGAGTGATATAGGCAATTCCCGACGTACCAATTCGTCATCCATATTCTAGCAGGAGGAAATTACCTGAAAAGTTCTTTGAAAATTCATCAAAGCATTTTCATGTCATTAACATCAACATTTAATACTTACAGCTGCATTGTCAGACCCACAGCTGGCTTTCAGAAGCTTTGTTAGAAATACTATTATACATCTTAAAATCAGGAAAAATTCCACACAATATTTTTAAACAAGCAGATGCATATTCACAGACCTATTTCGACTAGGATACAAAACAACCTGCATTTTCCTATAAAGGAATATATTGGATATCCATTTCTATTGTCCTGTCAAATGAGGAAAATGCCATACAGCAGTACTGTACCAACTGATGGCCAAGAATTTTTCTGAAGTTCAGATGAGGAAATGCAATTCTGGCAATTATAATAATTTGTTTACATTGTGCCTTTCACATCGGAAAATTGTCTTAACCTCACACAACTAATAAGGATCCCGAGCTGGGGGAGGGAGCAAGAGGGCCGAAAACACAGGGACGGACAAAGAGCAAGAACATTGGGATGGAATTCCCTGGGTGGTGCAGAGCGTCTGAAAGTTGATCCTCCGATGCTCGAGAGGAGCAATGAGAATTTTTAATTCATTAATTAACAAATTATAGCATCCACTGAATGAGGTCTTAAATTCAAACTATTAAAATATAGTCACTAAATGGAACCACAACTAAGCAACATTTTTGCAACAGCAATTAAGTTCAAAACTGGCCAAGCCCCCCCACAAAAAGTAAATTATCTGAAAGCACTATAAAAAGCTAATACACAGTGAAATTAGCAACATCTGAAGACATTTACCACAATGTTTAGCATTTTAGTCACAGACAGCTTATTACTCCACTGCATGATTTTTTAAAATAAATATAAGCCCAAAACTTATCAAAACCATACTCTTTAGAACTGCTGAATCCACACTGGATCATTGCCTCGTCTCCCTCTATTTGCCACAAAGAGCCACCATATCATCAAACTAAGGAACCTATTAGCCAGATATGATCAAGTTGCTTTTGAAACAGAAAACACTCAAATTCAACAAATGAGTGTTGAATACGCTTCAAGAATTGTACAAAGCGATTGTCTGAAAAGGAAGAAAACTTTAGGAAATAAATATAAATTTACAAAGCTGCAAATCAAATGACAACTATTTTGTTTATGTTTGTTGTTAGACCCATCTCAGTTCTGTACAGATTTGCTAATGGATTCATTTCTATTAGCAGCATAATCAAATAATATTGTAAAAATTAGAAACCGGTGAACAAGAATCAGAATTTCATAGTGATTACACTGTAGACTTAGTTGTGTCCAATCGATTGGCAAATGTGGCCAACAGAGTGAGCCAACAAACAATATATGACAGCTGCTACATTTTAATATTCTATTCACTGAAGTTTCTTATTTCATCATGCAGGATTATGACAATTCAGTAATATGGGCTTCAAAAAAAGTTCTACCTACCTTTTCTAATTTTTTTGCCTCAATGTGACGCAAGACTTGCTCTCTCCAGTCAGATGGCACCTTGCTGGTCCCCTGAGTGTCCAGAAGTGAATGTTCGGACTTCACTCTCAAATTTGGTCTTTTACTGGGACTAGTCCTGGAGTAATTGAAATCGCTTACTGACATTGTTCTCTCAGGAGCATCAGTCATGTGAGGGCGTGCACTCTGAGGCCTGGATGCCGTCGGACCATCAACACTATACGTCCTTGCAGAAAGAGGTCTTTGTGAGCCCTGAAATATCTGGGGGTTCCTTCCAATTGTATGTATGTCCCTATAGGTCAAATAATCCCCTTCAGGTATTGGAACTCTCCTGGAGTGATCAGCAAGGCTAACAGAGGTAGTGGACGAGACACTGCTCTGTCTCTGCAAAGTGGACCTTTGATTAGTTGGAACCAATCTCTCATTTGGTGGATATCCCCACATTTCAATTTGTCGAGGTCCCATTCTAGGTTGCACATTGTAAGACACATTAGACTGAGCATTATTGCGATTAGAGTAATTCATGTTTGCAGAATGCTTCGCGTAATTGGCATTGTCAACACTCTCCAACCTCTGAAGGTGAAGGGGTGCCAAATTGCCCTGTTCGGTTTGAATCTGGGATCTCTGTGGCCACACGTTATCTTTGGTGATTGCACTGCTGCTATACTGCACATTGTACTGTGGTACGGGGGGCATCTGTGCAGCAGGCATTGGTCCTCTCTTTAAACTGAAGCCTTGAGGGTTAAAATTTTGATCAAATTTGTATACTGTTTTGGTGCATGTCAAAAGATCAGAAGATGAAGCAGAATTTCCAGAAAATGGTTGCAATGACTGGTCATTCAGAAGAGTGGCTGACTTACTACGAACTATATTTTGCCCCTGACCTGCTGTAATCGGCATCTTTATTATGCTTTGGTCATGTGGTGCATTGTCATTGATCATATCATAAATTTTTAACCCACCTATTTCAATGTTTGTTACACTGTGAGATTTAACAACTGGTCCTACAGGGCACTCTCTTTGGGGGGATAACTCCTCGGTGCTCCTAGACATAGCTGTATCTACACTGGAAGACAGACTAGGTGAAGATTGTTTTTCTTGATCAAGCTGAACTTGGAATGATTCAATTTCCTCTGGACGTCCATTTATTCGACTTTGAGGGTAAGTAATAGGATCTTCATTTCCATTCTTTAAATGTTCCATCATTTGCAGCCCATTAGTTTTTAAATTACATCTTGATGTTTGTTCACAGATCTTCATACTTCCATCAACACTACTTTTAGATGTAGTTCCTGTATCTAACCTCTGAACTCCATCGTCTACAGTGAGCTCATTCTTATTCATACCAATCTGAGGACATTTCTGGTACTCCTCTGTGCTATTTCTCAAATCAATTCCTCTCTCCAGAAGAGCCCGTTTTTCTTCAATGTTGAATTCAAACCCAGACAATTTAATGGCTTCTGGTTTCCCCACAGAGGAATCAACCTTCTCATGACTCTTCACATTTCCTTGAAGTGGCGTGCTTGACCTAGTTCCATTTTGCAGCAGTGGAGAGGTTTCAGTAAGAATGCTCTCATTGCTCCTATAAAGACATTGAAAACATCTTAAGTGGCAAATAACGAATAGCAACAAAAACATAAAATATAACGTCAATTTCAGTTCCAGCACTTTTCTGAAATAGATCACTTTAATGTACACTGTTTTACTGACAATTAATAATGGATGATTTGTACAATGGGATATAATTAAGATATTTCTTCTTGAAACACAGGATTGCTTGATCTACTGTATACCCACAAGTTTAGTGGTGCATTTTGATATTAAAAGCATTTAAATACTTAAAGAGAGCTAAAAGAACTTCGAGTTCCACTATTCACAGGTTGCAGTGCATTTTATGAATGCTACAGTTCACCATTTTTTCAAAATCCATAAAACGTATTTCACAGCAATTACTATAACTTCCCATTTCAAAGGAATACCTTCACATTTAATGAGTTAGACCTAGCACCTTAAGTGGCAACTATCGTCTTCCATAACCAAATTAATGAATGCTCTGAATACAATGCATTCTGGATATATTCGAGCAAACAAATTACATTAGGAATAGCTTCATTCTCCATTTCTAGGAAGGAGTAGAGAAGAAAAAAAACTTGTGGAAAGAATGCATCCCCTTGCTACACAAGAACCACATGGTCTAAATCTTTGTTCCTATGTGGTCAAGTGTAAGAGTTCAGTACTTTGTTACATTAATAAAAGTAGCTGCACCTTAACTCTCATTCAAGACACACATCATCATTACTGCTAATTTAAGCACAGAACAAAATACATTTTCTATGTAGATTTTGGTTTTGTCATCTTGAGATCAGAGAATAATTAAAAACACAATCAAATTTAAAGTCATATAATTTTTTTTACAAAGAAAGTACTATATTAACAATTCAAAGACACTATTTTCTTGGGACTATTATTTTCTCTTAACGGTAATGCTCCTTACCTTTTAGTTGTGATGCTGATTTTAGGGGTCGAGTGCAAGGTCTCCTGACTGCTCTCAGTGTTGAGAGAAACTGTATCCGATATCCTGGATGGTGATGAACAATTACTGTTGTTCTGGTTACTGTTTGGAATGATATCTTCAAGTAGAGAATCAGCATCATCTGTAGTGGAGGGAGAAGAGAAAGGATTGAGAGGTATCTATTGAGATAGAATGCAGCAAACAAAAACATCTTACCACAGAACAACGGGCTGCAGTGATTATAGGCCTTTGTCTAGAAAGATCTACTGAACTGATTAAGGAATCGATGCTGGTAGTACAACAATAACTTGCTTTTATACAGCAAACCTCAAGCAGAGTAGCATCCCAGAGTGCTTAGAATGCATTGTTAATACAAACCAAAGCAAGTTAATTTTTCTACTTCCATGTATACATGAGGGAGAAAGAAATAGAGGGATATGGGAGAGAGGATTGGAAGGGGTGGAGCCTCTGGTGGAATATAAACATTATGACCACATGGGCCAAATGGCCTGTTTCCATGATGTAATTCATGTAGTTCAATGTAATTCTATGTCGGTCAGGCTAGAAATGAACCATAATCTTACCTTGCAATTTACCAAATCTTTGCCAGAATTTAGGTGTCAAATATTAAATATTACACATAATAATCATTGCATTTAATGCAGTACCATATCTCATCATCAAGATGTCTCAAAGCGCTTTACAGGATATACTGCAAATTGGATTGACTGTGTATTCTGTGGGCGAACTAGATCAGAAGCATTGTTGAACACAATATGTTCTTGCTGATTGCTTAATGTAACTGTTCCCACAATTACTCTGACCAGACTACAACAAGAACAACAACAACTTACATTTGTGTAGTGCATTTCAAGTCGGGATGATGCTGGACAATCAGGAATTTGGACCCGAGCAGGGGATTGAGATTAGATAGTATTAGAAATGAATAGGACGTTCAGCATCTGAAAAGTCCCAGTTTCAATTCTGATCCATTGCACAGATCACCCAAAGCCACATCTGTAGCTAGGACCATCTTATCTTTAAAAATACACCCCCCAATGCATTGAGTACTGACTGCACATTAGAATTAGACTGTCATTGTCAGCAGTAACAGCTGCCACAGGATAAAAATGGGTTTATCAGTCCGTATGAAACATAATATCATGCATTAGAAAAACAGATCATTTCAAGCCTGTAATCCTATCTGCAGTATCAGGAGACAGCTCTAAATTGCTTGATCTTTTCCTGCAGTTTGAGATTAACAGAATATCTTGATTAGATACCCTGGATCCATTGTCACATAGTAATTGAAAAAATTGTCTACAAATAATATGACCGAAGTCAAAGAGCAGCATAAATTGTGATCATTCACTGAACTGGAACAATGAAAGTATATGGCACATTTCATCTACCCTGTGGTCCCCGTGACTAGCTACAAATAGGAAAAGGTGCATGAACGAGATTATCATGAGTAAAAATGCAGCCAGGATATAAAGGATATAATTATGGCATAGAAGCACAAAATGACTTACTTAAAATAGCTAATGGGATGATGGTTGAGACTGCAAAAGTTTGCAAAACTGGATAGACCATTTAATTTCAGGTATAGACAGATGGAGAGACCATGTAGAGAATAATTTGGCAGGCAGTTTTGGCTATCAGAGCTAGCTAACAAACATTATGATGCTGATTCCATCTATCTTTTTTCTGCAGTCTTTGTATGAATTTTTCATTTCTAAATTGGAATTGTTGATGCCTGCCAAGCTCATTAACAGGATTTACGATGGGATAAACACATCACAGTGGAGAGTATGAGGAAAAGGGGAGGGATTGCTAGCTAATCAAACACAGCCTCATACTGGTGGGCTGGCAGATAATTTGGTCATTCAATCCACAACTGTTTGTGGGACACTGCTTTGTGCAATCGGCTGTCGCATTTCCCCCACAAAGTACAGTCACTACACTTTACAGTATATTCTGTGAAGTGCTTTGAGTTGTCTGGTTATAGCAGTACCCAAATGATACTTTAGAGACCCCAATATCTTGATGCTACAACTCGCAACTGTGTGCTAAATTACACTTGATGTAAAGTTTCATTGTATTTTAATATAATGTAAGAATTTAATCGGTTTTGGTTACAGTTAAGTTCACACATATTTAAGTAGTTGAGGAGCCACGGTTCTGTTTTTTCCTCAATTGAAAATCCCATACGCAGAAATGAAGCAGACTACTGGATTTGGATTACAAAAAAGACATTGGATCAGATGGCTTGAACGTTCTGTTTCTCAATCAACCGATGGGGGAAGATTAAATCATTGTCTTGTGTATGAAGTCATTAGTCTGCTTTGCTATATTAAAAATCTGGGAAGATGAACATTTATTGCCATGTTGCTAGCGCAGATTTGATGGGGTGATTACCAGTTTCTGTCCTGCAGCATTCTGTGACTACGTATTCAAGTCACCGTGTGTATCAGTGTAATGGGCAATTCATCGTTTTGCACATTGACTTGCATTACTCATTTATTCACCAACCCAGTCATGCTATCAAGATTACCTTTCTCCAGGGAACAGCTCACAGCTTCTGTTGCAGCCCAGTAATTTAAACTAGGGTCATCAAACATTCCTGTCACTGGCAGGTACATCGGGAATGGGGTTAAGTCTACATTTATTTAGTTTTGTGATGACTCATTAGTACACACTACTTCAGTAAATTAAATTGTGCTAAGGAAGTATTCAGACAATCATTTATGTGTAATTTTACTCAATACAAATATAAATGCAAAGCAAATAGACTACAACTAAGTAGCAGCTAACATAATATACACAATACATTATACCTCTTGTGGTACATGAGAGTTAACACAATTGATGTTCTCTTTCGGCCTTTTTATATTCAAATGTAGTCATGTAAGACTCTTAAAAATGAAATATAAACATTGTTTTCCATGATAGGTTTTAGATCACATAGAATGTACTTTTCAAAGGAACATTGATAATGCCTAACAAAAGTACACCCTATCGTTGCAAAGTATATTGTTGATCAAAGTATATTTATTTATATTCATTCATTCTGTTGGCACAGAAAATGCACTGAACAGCAAAGGGCTTTTGTTTCAGAATTGCAGCAGATCTTTTATATTGCCTTCCAGCTGCAAAACGATTTATCCTTTCTTCTTCCCCTTCCCACAAAAAAATGTTTGTGCCCATTTTTCAAGTATGTCAACTATTTTAAAATGTACCTTGAAATCAATAAATATTAGAGAGGTTAACAAGGATTCCACACCACAAAGACAGCCATGGCTTTGTTTGGACACATAACCTCAATTGAACAGTGTTAAGTCTGTACCAGAACTCGATAATGCAAAAATGTTGCTATGAGAAGAACACAATTCTCAGACGCATCTGAAAGCAGGATTCCATGGAACTGAACCATAAAAATTTACATCACAGAAGGTGTCCATTTGGAGTTCCAGAAAGGGAAGCAGTGCAATTTCTATAACAACAACAACAACAAGATTCCAATTATAAAGCGCCTTTCACGTCAGGAGGACGTCCCAAGGCGCTGCACAGTTGGGTCATGACCCGAGCAGGGGGGAAATGGTCAGGGTGAGGGGAGGGAAGGGAGGGAGCGAGGAGGGGGGAAATGGTCAGGGTAAGGGGAGGGAAGGGAGGGAGCGAGGAGGGGGAAGAGAGTCGAGAGGGGAGCTGAAGGCTCGGTCAAAGAGAAAGGTTTTGAGACCGGCCTTGAAGGAGGAAAGGGAGGAAGCGGCGAAGGCACTGGGGATAGAGTTCCAGAGCCTGGGGGCTGAGAGGCTGAAGGCCCGACCACCGATGGTAGGGCGGTTGGGGCGGGGGACGTGGAGCAGACCGGAGCCAGAGGAACGGAGGGTACGGGCAGGTAGGTAGGGGGATAGTAGGTTGGAGAGGTAGGAGGGAGCAAGGCCGTGAATGGCCTTGTAGGTGAGGATGAGGATCTTGAAATCAATCCTCTGGGGTTTATAAGTTTATTGAAAGCACCCGAACATTTCTTATATTACTATTTGCTTCATTGATTCATTTCACCAGCTTCTTGAAAGGTGCCCTATTTCTCTAAGTTGGTAAACAGATAGAACCATGATAGCCAAGATCATCAATCATTTGCTTCAAGTGTGTACATGGAATATCTAAAATGGACCAAAAACAAGGCCATTTGATTTTAACTGCACACTCCCACTTCTGAATACCATTTCTTATGTAAATCCTTCATTGGAATGTCCTTTTCTTTAACAACAAGTTGCATTTATACAGTGCCCCTCACGTAGGAGCAGTTAGAGCGGGGCACAACGCCGAGCCGGGGGAGGGGGAGGTGACCGTAGGCACAGTTGAATAGAAAGGTCTTCAGGCGCAACCTGAAGATGGGGAAGAAAGGGGCAAGTCTGAGGAATAGGCCGGGGAGGTTGAGGAGGTCAGAGCTGCAAGATAGAAGATGTTGATGGGAGCCAATGAGTATGGCTTCCGTCTTGTCAACATTTAGTTGTATGCCCACCAGACAAGTCAAGAGAACATCGGCGGACCTAGAGTTGCAGCTAGAGCAGGAAAAGTAGATGCGTGTGTCATCCGTATACATGAGGAAGTTTACCCCCATTTAAAGACACAAAACTACAACAACAACAACAACAAGATTCCATTTATAAAGCGCCTTTCACGTCAGGAGGACGTCCCAAGGCGCTGAAAACTAGTTTTCAGACAAGCTCAGTGAGCGATACATTTTCTCTTTTACAGTATCAATTCATGTTATAAATTCTAACTCACAGAAGTAACAAGAATTTTGGAAATCTGGGTTATACCTAATGAGCCAAGATAGAAAAATATATTTTTACAAATGTAGTTTTAAAAAAAATCAAAAGTAAATTTTTGCCAAAGTGAAACACTATTTTTATCAAGCAATTTGAATGTTTCTACTATACTTCACTGCAGGAATGAGTAATCTTGGTGAGATCTGCAAGCAGCAGGAAGTCCAGCTCTCAAGCAAAGGGGTTCAAACCATTTGTTAATCTTCAGTTTAGAGGTTAATTCAGCTCTCCTAAACTTACCTCTTTTCTCTTTACTCAGTGCCACAATTTTCGGCTGAAAGATTGGTATCTCTGTCAAAGGTGGCCTCAACTCTGCCATTCGCATTTCTTCATCGGATGAAGTGTTTTCAGAATCCTGCTGAAAACAACGCAGGATGAAGGGAAAAAGTAATGAAGGTAAGTGATAATTCCTACATAATTAACATTACTTTCTGTGATAGACTAAGCACATTTTAGCATTTTAGCATAGCATCCACAGCAATAAACTTGTAAATTCAAATGTTAATGGACTGACTAAAATGCAACCATAAATTTACCAATTAATGACCAGAATTCCCTTTTGGTAGTGAAAGGGTATTTTTAAATTTAAAAAATTGCTAGATTCTCATCAGTATTTTTGGAGTCCTCCTATATTTACACAGATTGATGAGAATCTGCTTTAAACTGTAAAAGTTTAAAGACTGTTTGGTCTTTATTTATTGTTCAAGAACAGGTATAGTTTCCTAAAACATCAAACAAAATATTGGTATTAGTTAATAGCTTAGCCAACTATATCTTGTAGAATGGGTACATTTGAAACCAAAAATGAAGCAAGATTGACATTTGAATTACAGGATTAAAACAAAACATAATTAGTGTGTCTGGCTAAAATTGGAGCAGAAATGTATTTATGATTTTCATCTTTGTCTATCAATACATTTAAAAAATATGTAATCCACTTTTAATTGTATAAATTTGCAACTTTAATTTCAGTCATTCTTTCCCTTTGATCTCAATTTAACATGTAGGGAAACCTGTACATCACACATTCTTAGATTTAAATATAATCAATTACCAGAACTTCTAAAGATCGAAGATTTTCTTTGAGCTTTTGCTCCCAGCTATCTCTATGAATGACTGACTGACAGATTCAAGCAATTTATCCATTTTAGGTTCAACGCAAATCAGTTCCACGGTTCAAGCTTTTAAAATATAGAGTCTAAGTACAATACTGAAGAAACAGCATCTAAGTGAAAATACTGACAGGAACGACACAGGTTGCTGAGCTGATTGAGGGCCTATTAATCTTGTGCAACATCAATAATAAGACCAAGCGAAGGAGAAACCCTAAAATGAACTAAATAAGGGCCAGAATACCGAAAAATAAAACAAGAAAAAAATGGAGAGAAACATAGATGAAGAATGTAAAGACAGTAAGTCATAGCAATGCCATTTACTATTTTAAGAAAAATAGTCTTAAGTAAATGAACTGAAGAGTCTTATAACTGGTTTGACATTAGCTTAGCTGGTTAGTCTGTACTTAATTGAAAGATATAATGTGAAGTTTACATTGTGAATATCTGTCTGCAGATTCCAAAACATCCTACCTCAAGCACATCTTCATGGTTGATGGCTTCATTTACATTCTTCTTATCTTGCACATCTGCTTTTGTATCTATAAAGTCATTACTCATGTCTGGCTCAGTGGTTTTCTGTACACAGTTTCCCATCACACTGAATTCAATACTTTCTGGTGGCTTATTCTGTATTACATGAGACTCGATTACCTAGTAAGAATAAAGTATCATTTTTATTGTAACACCATATTGCCACAGATTTCTTAGGCAAACGCAGAACCATAATTTTCTGGCACCTATTTTTTATCCAAAAAATACCAAAAGGAAAAGAATAAAATATTGGTATCAACATTAGAACATTTGGATTCTGAACATCAAAATTTGAGGGAAGAATTCAGGGGATGAAAGGCCTTTTCTCAGGTTCTGGTATTTTGAGCTAGCCACGATATTATCAAAGCTCATCAAAGCTTGCATTATTTTTTTCAGCATTAAATTAAACGTCAAATGCAGAAACACGTTCCCAAATAATCAATAATTATGAAGAAATGGTTCAATTCTTTTTGATAATAATTTGAATGGAAGTACATCAAAATATGATCAAATCCTGATCATCCGAACAATAGCGGTTTACCCAAAAGAACACCAAACATAATCTGGATGATGGTGTTTGTATTTAGGGAATTAGCATGAATCTGAACATCACCATTTTTGACTTAGAAATTGATTTTTTTGGATCTGCTTTGATAATAATAATCCTTGCATTTGATAAAGCGCTTTTCACGTCTTCTAGACGTCTCAAAGCGCTTCACAGAATATGCTGTAAAGTGAATTGATTGTATATTTGTGGGTGAAATGCAGCAGTCAATTGCGCACAGCAGTGTCCCACAAAACAATCGTGGATTGAAATGACCAATTTATTATTGCTTGTTTTCTTGAGGGATTATTCTTGACGGATTGATCACAGAATACACAGACAAAAATGTGTAAATGACATGATTTTTATGGTATCATTATGACTGCTGTCAGGCAGACACCTGGTGTCTGTAACTCAAGGCACAGCAACATATTCAGAATTTGCAAAAAAAAGGAGCATTAACATTAGCTGACTTCGCAAACTTCAGGATTTTACAGCTTTTGGAGTTTAAAATCCGCATAAGGTGCCGCACAAAAGGTTGATCCACAAGATTAGGGCCCATGAAATTAAGGGGAATATATTAACATGGATTGAAGAATGGCTAACAGGTAGAAAGCAAAAAGTAGGGATAAACAGGTCCTTCTCAGATTGGCGGGATGTGACGAGTGGAGTGCCACAAGGATCAGTGCTTGGGCCTCAACTATTTACAATCTATATCAACGATCTAGATGAGGACATCAAACTTAATATATTCAAATTCGCGGATAATACTAAACTAGGAGGGAGAGTAAACACCGAGAATGACATTAAAAAAATGCAACGAGATATAGATAAGACTAGGTGAGTGGGCAAATAGGTGGCAGATGAAGTATAATGTAGGGAAGTGTGAAGTTCTCCACCTAGGTGGCAAAAACAGGAGAGCAGATTATTTTATTAGAAGGGGAGAGACTAGATAGTGTTAGCGTTCAGAGGGACTTGGGTGTCCTTGTACACCTGTCACAAAGTTAGTTTGCAGGTACAGTAAGCAATTAGGAAGGCTAACGGTATGTTGGCATTTGTTACAAAAGGGTTAGAATATAAGAGTAGGGAAGTCTTACTGCAACTGTATAGGGCCCTGGTGAGACCGCACCTAGAGTATTGTGTGCAGTTTTGGTCTCCTTATTTAAGAAAGGATGTATTCCCCTTGGAGGGGGTACAACGAAGATTCACTAGGTTGGTACCTGGGATGAGGGGGATGAGTTATGAGGATAGGTTGAGCAATTTAGGCCTATATTCTCTAGAATATAGAAGAATGAGAGATGATCTTATAGAAATTTATAAGATTATTAAGGGGCACAACAGAATAGATAGTGGGAGACTTTTTACCCTGGTTAGAGAAACTATAACCTGGGGTCATAGTCTTAAAATCAGGGGTAAGCCCTTTTGCACTGAGTTGAAAACTTCTTCACTCAGAGGGTAGTGAATTTATGGAATTCTCTACACCAAAGGGCTGTAGATGCTCAGTCCTTGAACATATTCAAGACTGAGATTGATAAGATTTCTTGTGGATAAAGGGATTAAGGGATATGGGGATAAGGCGGGTAGGTGGAGTTAGAATAGATCAGCCATGATCTTATCGAATGGCGGGGCAGGCTCGAGGGACCAAATGGCGTACTCCTGCTCTTAATTCTTATGTTCTTATGTAAATCCAAGATTGAACTGTTCACAAGCAAGGCGCTCATGTGTGTGCTTAGTTTCAAAGTTGCCATGTTCAGCCTCTGAAACTAAAATGTTAGAAACTGTCTTTTTAAGGGCTGTGAAAAAGGGAATATTTTTAATCTTCATCTCTAGTCTGGTACCTGAATATTAACAGCTGTATTTACATGCTTTTAAGATTATGATTTAGCGTTCTCTGACCTCCACACCGACACTTTTTACTGCACTTGATCGGTCATCATTATGCTTCATTTCAGATCCAGAATCATCTGGCGTTCCGTCCTCCTTTAACCTATGCACAACATTCTGCGCAGTTTTAACCATGTTTTTGAGTTCATCAGGATAGGGCGTAGGATATCTTTTCAAGTTACCTTCCTGTATGTGGGAAAAAGAAACCACATTATGATTCTTAAAATATCTTAGCATTCTGTAGCAATAGGCACAAATTATCAGACAGAATTTATGAGACTAAATGTACATGATGTATCATCAGCTTAATGCCAATTTCTATACTAAAGAATAGCAAAGCCGTCTTTTTAATTAAAACAGGCACTCAATGAGGTTTCTCTTTATACTACAGCCATATTATTCACCAATACATCAATCTTCTTGAACCATGTCGATGTTCTGAAATTAATTTTTGTTTTCAATTAAAATAACCAGCTTATTTAAAGCCTTTGTCTCTCGCAGGATCAGCAGAAAAGAAGTAAAATTCTCTTAAGTTAACAATCTTGCAAAACACTTGAGCAAAGACATCTACGCATGGAACATTTGCTAATTTTAAATCTATATCATTGAATTTGGTCCCCAAAATAACATGCTAAAACTACATTCATTTTTTTAAATAAAAAATAATGGAATCAAACTTTCAGTCTTTTACTTAATGAGAATTCAATTCTGAGGGTTCCTTGTTTATAATGAAGCCCCTATTCTAAGAATATCTCCATCACCTTTCACTGAACATGGTACAATATATCGTCATTTAATTCCAGGAAAAGGCTAATTGTGTCAAGTGAGATGATGGATTTATTTTTGCTGCTCGTCATGAAATGTTTTAAACTGGGCCTGGAAAACATCCAACTTGGAGCATGTGCAGAAAGCAAAGCTTTTGTTTCTTATGTTTCTCCACCTTGCTAAGCCAGTCCGGAAACTTGGTGTCTTGTTTGGTCCTCAACTACCCATCTGCCCACTCACTCTGCTCAGCGGGCTCTGGCCTGCTTCACATCCACATCCATTGGCGGGCGGGCTTTCTGCCACTCTGCCCCCACCCTCTAGAACTCCATCCCACAGTCCCTCTGCCTTGCCCCCTCCCTTGCCTCCTTCAAGATCTGTCTCAAGACCCTCCTCTTTGACTGTGCCTTTGGTCACCCCCCCTTCCCTCCTGTCCTCCCCAATCCCGACCCCCAGCTCAGGTCCAAAACACTGATTGTCCGGTGCCTTGAACATCCTCCCAACGTGAAAGGCTCTGTACACATGTAATATTGTTATTGTTGTAATCATGTTATTAATTGGATCTTTAACAGTAACATAAAAAAACCTTGAAGTTTTAAAGGACTATTTTGATTTCAGAGTTGAACCCAAATCAATTTTATATTGTTGTTGTGTGAATTGATGTGCTGCTCAAACACCTTTTCAAGCTGATCAACAGCCAAGGACATAACGTGACAGCCAGGATCCAGCGCAAATTGCTCTCATATGCGGATGCTCAAAAAAGAACAGGATAAACTGAACATCACAAAGTCATAGAAATAGTTAGACAAGCACACTCAGGCTTTTACAAAGAAATACTGATATATTACCAGTAATGTTTGTGTACCTGTTTACTCGCTTACACCTAGATAAGCACAGCATTCAATTAGCCCTTTAAGTTTTCAACCTGTTAACCTCAGTTTAATGGGAAGAGATAATGAATTCTAACAATTTGCAAGCCTATAAGTGGGAAAACAAAGATGGGCAGCTGCTACAGATGATGGCAATAAAATCAGTTCTGCACACAAGAAAACAAATTTATGTATTTTTAAACAATTTCCCACCTCGTGATAGCAAAACTGACACTGCTAACAAGTAACTACTTTTCAGAAAAAATGCCTTAGCTTTCAGAAAAAAAGTTTTCTTTGTGATTTGTTCCAAGACAATCTTCCTGATGCGAACTGTCACACACCTACACTTGTGGATAAGATCGAAGATTTTGTTTACAATGAAGGAAGTGATATCTGATGGAGAATCTTGGTTGTACTAAATGCAAGGATTATTAATATTTTTGTATTGGAGTGAAAATTACTACTCCCAAGTAATGCAGCATCTCCAATTCTCTGATGTTAAATGTGCATCTCCTTATTGAAGGTACACTTTCCAAATTTTCTTTTCTGTTTCATGAATAACAACAGGTAAAATTGTCTGCATTTACACAAAATAATCTTAAATAACATTTGCAGATGTGCCAGTTTTTCCAACATGTCTGCTCTACACAAAATATTCTGTTGTAAACTCTACTCTACTTAGCCAATTTGCACAAACGATTAGAAAAAAAAGCTAACTGCAACATAGGGGAACATTTCCAAACAGGACTACATTCAAACGCTTCTCATGGGAAATTAAAATCCTTCATCTGATTAATAGCTAAACAAAATAGTTTGGAACAGGTCTTAAAGCTACACTTTTTAAAAACACTGTTTAGAAATATATTGCATCTCCCAATAACAACCCTATCATGGAGGCTGAAGCATGGCCATCTTATACTGGTGACGCGGGAGTTCTGTGTCAAAGAGGAGAAACCAATAATAATATTAAACCTTGCATTTGATTTAGCACTTTATCACGTCTTCGAGATGTCTCAAAGCGTTTCACAGAATATATCGTAAAGTGTAGTGACTATATTTTGTGGGCGAAAAGCGGCAGCCAACTGCACACAGCAGATGCATCAGTTTCAGCATAACATTTCCTGTACATTGTAATTTTCGCAGGAGTAAATGTATTCGAATAAAGCATTGTTAAGTGTTCGAGCCTCTCTGTGCATTTAATGGATAACTTTTGTAGTGTCTGATTGTATAGTTAGAACAAATGTTTTGGTTGCAATAAATGTAGAATTGCTTGACTTGTATTCATATTTTTTTAATTCGACACACAATTCTACCTTGTGTTTTTAAAAATTATCTTTAGCAATTTTTTTGACTACAAAATGGCTGATTTTTAGGTCATAAGGGCATTACTTCCCACGCACAGCACCCTGAACATCACTTTTTCCACAGGCAGCACCTCAAAATAAGTAATACAAGATACTAGAAATAGTAAAGAAAGAAGAAATTTAATGATTGGGGAACTAATCTTTCTCCATTTGGAAAAACTGCAAATCAAAAATACCAACAAATACCAATCTTTTCGCCGATTAAATTAAGAAACCGACAAGCCTAATTATACATGATGAGGATGGAATCTTAAGTACGTTTGTCTGCTAGTCACACTGTAACAAACCCCACAGGTCTACTCAGACCTCCACAAACCTCTGCACATGTGGGTTAAGCGTGTTGATCTAACACAACAACAAATTTATATTTATAGAGCGCCTTTCACATTGGGAGGACATCCCAAAGTCCTGAACAAGTCCAATTGAGATTCAGTGACAAAACTGACTTGCACATGCATAGCCACCTGTATATTCAGTGTAAAGAAAGCCGTCTCTTACTGATGTGAAGCAAATTCCTGAGACAAGTACCTCTCATAGTTTTGCCAACTTTTATAGTAGATTTATTCCTATTGCCATTGATGGTTTCAAGGAGCCACTAGGAGGCAAATGAGCTCAGTGGACATCCACTAGGAGTTAGAGCACTCGCTTTGCAAGCGAGAGACCCGAGTTCAATTCCAGGCAGGGCGAAACCTTGGGCAAGTTTCCTTACTCCACACGCCTAATAATAATCCCGCCAAAAAAAAATAATAAATTGATCATTTTCAATCTACGACTGTTTATGGGACACTGCTGAGCGCAATTGGCTGCCGCGTTCGCCCACAAATATACAATCAATTCACTTTACAGTATATTCTGTGAAGCGCTTTGAGACGTCTAGAAGACGTGAAAAGCGCTATATCAAATGCAAGGATTATTAATATTATTATTATAAATGAGAGCACCTTGGTGACAAGTCCTTTCCAATTTTAACTTGCCTAGGGAGGCATCTGGCTCAGATGGAGAACTCAGTAGAGTGGGAACAACAGCTGCATTCCTCCACTTTTTGGGGACTTATATGATCAATACTTTTTACATCAATGAAAATACTGTGTGAAATCGAAAGCTTTCCTCCTATTGGGAGACTGAAAATACAGCTAACTTCTAGGGGATATTTACTCCTTTACTTTGAGACAAGTGCTAATTTGCACTTCATTAAAGCTGCAGTCATTATATTTCATACTCCCATCTACACTGGAGTGTCGACAGCTTCCATTAGTGTTAAACATCTTCTGGATATCCAGTTGAAGTTAGCTTTTAGTGCTATTGAATTAATGCTGCAGTGATTATAGTTCATACTCCCATCCATAATACAGCATCGAAGGCTTACATTAGAGCTGCACATCTTCTGGATATCCAGTTGAATTTAAGTTTTAGTGCCACTGAATTGACCATCTGCTGTAAAATAACTCACCCGTGGCGGTACCTCTCGTTCATCCTTATCCTCATCACATTCAAAAGCCACTTGAGCTCTTTGCTTTCTCTGTTCCTCCCACAGAGAAGGATTGAAGCTTTCACTATCAGAGATAAACACTACTGCCAGAAAAGCAAACAAATCACAAATGTTAGTCAGAATGTGCCCCAGAGACTATATACACAGCAAACAATAATAACGATAATCCTTGCATTCGACATAGCACCTATAAAATCAAGAACATACATCATTTAATTTCTATATTGTGACTTAATTTAGAAGATGTTGAGTTGCACAAGCATGAATGAGATGTTGACGGTGAAAAAATCTGAAAATGTAATCCAATTAACTATAAGATTAAGTTTAAAGGGTCTAGAATTTTTATTGATTATTTTTGTTGGAAAAAAAATGAAGCTATTTTAAATATTTTTTGTTCAATACATTCACCCATTTTCTTCGAATTCTCTCTAGTCTTGTAAAGCAGTTTTAACTTGTTTTCCTACTATTTTTTCTACAACTATTGCGTCAGCTGGGCTTCGTCAATAGTACTCTTGCCTCAATCACAAGGTTTTGCATTCAAGCCCCACCTTGGTGACTTTGAACTCATAATCTAGAGTAGCACTTCAATGTATTGCATCATTGCAGATGCTGGCCTTTGGATGAGATGTTAAACCAAGGACGTCTGCCTGATACACCCTACTTCACTCAATACTGCTGAGACAATATTAGTGAAGCAATTATAACCCTATCTGAAATGAGCAAGCAGCAGAAACTGGGTTTTGAACCAGTAATTCTGCAGTCTGAATGGCTCACTGCTGCATTGCAGTATGTCTTTACCCACTGGGCCTTCAGGGTCTTAAGACTTAATGATAATTTAATTAAAATCTAGAAGAATCCAGCAAACAAAATCCACTTTATCTGCACTAAACACACGCACATCACAAAGTATTCAAATTGGATGTTTCATTGCCATTTTGTTCATTCAGTTACTTTGCATTTAGATGTACTGAAGTCATGAAATACTAAAAACTAAACAGGTTTCTTATAAATAATCTTTGTATTTGAAACAGCACCTGATCACATCATCAAGGTGTCTGAAAGAGCTTCACAGGATACACTGTACAGTGGTCTTCTGTTTATTTTGTGGGCAATTGCAGTAGCCAATATGTTACGGAGTTAATGACCAGTTTTATTTGGGGGATTGTTGCCCAGGACAATGGGAGAAACTCTCTTCTCTTTTTGAATATGCCATGAGATCTGTAACATCCAGCTGTACAGGCAGGTAGGAACTCATAACATATCATCTGAATGGCCAACAATGTAATATAGCCCCAGCACTGCAATGGAGTGTCTGCTTGGACTATATTGGCGCCCCACCATAGGTGGTTGGGCCTTCAGCCTTTTTGCCCCCACCCTATGGAACTCCATCCCTCCCTCGCCTTCTTCAAGGGATGTCTCAAAATCCTCCTCTTTGACTGAGCCTTCGGCCATCCTCCTACCCCTCACGATCCCCAGCTCAGTTCCAAATCCGTGACTGTCAAGCACCTTGGGACATTCTCCCGATGTGAAAGGCCCTAGACAAATGTAATTTTGTATTTGTATATGTGTTCAAAGTGCCAACATGGGGATTGAACTCATAATCTTATGACAACAGAGGCAAGTGTGTCAAGATATCATATCAAAGGATTGTGACCTCAAACACTGATATTTCTATTATAGATCTGATTTTTTTAAATAATTAAAATGAATAGAAATTTCTTTTTTATTGTACATTTGACAGAATGAGATATGAGACGTAGGCAAAAATGGGGCAATATTAACAGTGTTCATAGGCACTAAGAAGTGGGAAACAGCAGCATTTGAATCCACTCTCTGTTGACTTTGGATCCTACAAGAGAGGTACGTGATTAGGCAGGAGGTTTAGTTCAATTATCTTTGAAGAACCATGAAGTATGTGTGTGACCGTTTACTCCCAGTAGATAAGAGCAGGTTTTGGAAGTCAATGAGAATAGACTTTTGCATCTGTGGAATGTGCACATTCAATGGGATTAGTTCTTTTTTTTCCCCATTCAGATTTCTTATTTTAATGAACTTTAGGTTGTGTCAATTCAGTCCCTGGTTCAAGGGTATTTATCTACAAGAAAAAGGTCTAATTTGATGCAATTTAACAACTAAATTGGAAGCAAGGATGGCTGGGAAACTGAAAAGTCACGCTTGTTCAGTCAGGGGTGCTCCTTTGAGACTGGGATGAGAATCTGACAAGGGCACTCCAGTCTCTGTATAATTTATCCAGGAAAGTTACGACATCATTTGAACCACTCAGTGAAATTAATTTTATAATCTCTCCAGAGTATCCTTTCTTTCCACGTAACCTGTACTTAGAAGCAATATTTCAATATTTTACCCAAACATACCCTCCTCTGTCCTGGGTTGCTGAGGGAACATGTAGTTTGTGAGCACTTGTTTCTGTGTATCTGAATCCACCTCTTTCTGCAGGGGTATAAGAGGCTTGGACTGTGAAAACATAAGGTAAAAAACACTTTTCAACTTGTATCCAATTTGTTCGGCCTCTATCCCACCTCTCATCAAGCAGAAAGTTAGTTTGACGTATAGCTCCCAAGGGTGACAGTCCACCAGCACCTCAAATAAAAACTCATTCATGGCCCCCAGTGCAGAAACATCAAGCTTCATCAGTGTCCTCACATGGATTTCCAGCAGAGATCACTGGATAGGAAATCATGAAGGGAGAAGATGGACAATGTTTTCCTCCTTAGCTCAGGGATCCCAATATAAATTCTGGTTCTCCTTAGCTCTGCCAGCACACTGGCTCAGTCAGTTTGGCACAGACGAAACGTGCAAGTGGGGCAGTCCTCGTCTATCAGGCTCAATGCCACAGCACAGCATACATTCACTCACTGAAGCATCTGGCATTCAACATTAAATTAATTCTCGTATAAAAGAAAATATTTGGCCATTTTACTGGTTGCGAAACCAGAAATGCCTAATGGTGACCACTGATATAAAGAGACATATAATGGCCAATGTGTAATTTGTTTGTGGTAAGTTATAAGTTAATTACTGTAAAATGTCAACAGTCATAGAAATCATAATTAAAATCAGGACAAAACTAACCATGTTTACTGTAATTTCCATGATCTTTTAAAGGATATCCAATTACAAAAAAAACCTTTGAAGATATATCTTGCCAAATAATGATGTGAATTATTGTAAAACGTATTGGTTACAGCAAGTGAAAGTCCCAATTTGTGGTTAAGAATTACACTAGAAGTTCTTAGCTTAATAGTGGAGAAATTATGGTTTTGAATAATTGTGAAATTAATTCTCAGAAAAAGCAGTATTGCATAGTGTGCAAAACAAAAATGCTATTTGTCAATATTCTGAAATTTAAAACAACGCCTGTGGCACAACTTGCTACAAAGCCAAAGATATGCTGGCACACGGAAATTTGTACAGAGAATGGTGAGAAATAGGTCAAATCTATTTTGATGCAAATACCCACTGACCCATCGTTCTCTGACAACTTTCTGAAAATATGTTTAACGTAGCTCCAATTTCCCACAGACGTCTATTATAACCTCTATTTCACAACTAACTGTATAACTGACCTGGTTTTCAGACAGCCACATTGCTGTTAACTCCTGTAGTTTAGTGAAACTAAATGGCAGATTCTTCAGTCTAAAAAAGGAAGCAGAATTATGCATACCAGTTAATATGAGAATCTTACTTTAATTGATGAGCTAAATGATCAACTGAATTGGTGCTCAAGCTAATAGCACCCTGAAATATGCCAAAGTAAGCATTCATTAAATTAGTTCACACTATTCAGACAAGATTATCGAGCAATAAAGTAATGCTGCATAAACATGGATGAAGAGATTTAACTATTGTATACTCCAGTTTGGATTTTTTTTTAAAAATTATAAAAAGCAATAATGCAACATATAGAGCTGGATCACAATTAAGAACTTTTAAAAATAATCAAATCGGTGCCCTATAGTGGCATAATTTTATTATGACAGTATATGTAACATGATCCAAATCGCAAGAAATCTGTTTTTAATTTTCTTGATCTAACCCACTTGGTAACCTAACCACTGGATTGAGGATGTAGATGTTTGAAGACAGAATGTAATTTGAAGGAAGTTTCTATCATCTAACACTTTCATGTACTTGTGAAAACGATTGGAGATTTTACTTTTGAATTAAGTAGTTTAATCTTTCCATGTTCCGTAGAATGATACTACTTTGCCGGTTAGGTATTTGGGTGGAAAGGAGGCACCTAATCAAGTATTCCTCATTTTGGACTTAAAAAAAACACTAGTGGGAATGTGGTCAACATTTGGACAGTTCAAATGTTTCCTCTTGCCAAATTAGCATTAAACATAAGTATGTGCCATGAGATTTTTAATGTCCACCTGAACCGGCAGATGTCTCATCCGAAGGATAACACCAACAATGCAGTTTATCCCAAGCAATGCACTGGAGTTCAGCCTAGACTATTTGGGTTCCAAGTCTCAACGTGGGCTTGAACCCACAAACTTCTATCAGACTGCTATCAATTGAGCCACTTGAAATATTCCAAATTCATTGCAAATAATTTAATTCCTTCTTTCTCGTATAATTTAAACACATTTGCATTATTTGCTCCTCAAAAAGTAGAATAATACATACATATCTAGGTATTTAAACTTATCACTGTTGTGCATGTTTTCTAAAAGATATTTCAACTGTATTTTATTTTACTTCTTTGACATAGAAAAGCGTGTAAATTGAAATCTATTAGTCCAAGGAGAAACAGTAGAACAAATGGATAACGTTACAGTAACTTGGTTATGTAATGCAAATCTGAATGTATCCCACATGTAAATAGTAAAGCTACTATTTACAATGCAAATTACATTTGTATAGTGCCTTTCAAGTCGGGAGGATGTCCCAAGGTGCTGGACAGTCCAAGATCTACAACTTAACCATAAATTAGAGCATATGGCTCATGGTTATTATTCTATTGTACAGTAAATTCCAGACCTAAGATCAATTTAAGTCTGTTCTCAGAAATTGGAATTTGTTCAAACACAGTTGAGCCTGAAGAAGCAAATTCCACAGATATAAAAAACACAAAAAATCCCCAGGTGAATCACATAATGCAGTGTTACAATTTTACGTTAAACGATAGTTAAAAGCATCAAGACAGTAACATCCATGTATCCAGAAAACTTCCAGAAAATTATTATTTAGTCCTGAAATACCAACCGGTTGTCACTGAGATTAATGACTTTCAGCCTCTGCATCTGGCCCATTTCCTCAGGCAAATATTCCAATTTGTTGGAATGAAGGAATAGAACAGTCACATTCTTCCAATTACCAATCTGAAATAAATCAAATTCTTACAATTTGTAGCTACATTTTCTCTTGTAGAATATATCTTGGAGTACATATTGGTAAACAGTATGAAACTAAACTGCTAATGATAAGGGAACAAGATTCAAGTAAATAATAATAAATCTTTCTATTTGATTTAGTGCCTTACCACATAGTTGAAATGTCTCAAAGCGCTTCGCAGAATATACTGTAAAATTAATTGGCTGTATATTTTGTGGGCGAAATGTGGCAGCCAATTGTGTGCAGCAGTGTCCACAAACAGTTGTGGACTGAGTGACCAAATTATTAAATGGTCGAAGGAGGTAAAAAAAATTAAAACTCATGTGCCTGGTGCACTGAGCACTGCAGAGGCGGCAGGAAGGTTAAATAATAATAAAAGGTTTAACATCACTGAGCACAAGATATGGACAATGTCTTTTGAGTAAAAGATGGTGGAAAGTAACCGTTTAAACAAAATTGAGTAACAACCTAAATATTCTAGGTCACTAAGCAAATCGTTTACTTAAAAAAAACTGTCTTTATATAGAGCCATGGACTTAAAAGTTGTAGTTTAACTCTGTAATACAGTGGTGTAATCCTTTGCTTTGGCCCAAAGATGGCACTGTGAATTTTAGCCATTGATGGTTAACAGGATTTTTAAGCTAACAACTCATATCCGGAAAGAGGGGAGATGCAACTCACGTGACCATTTGAGAGACATTAAAAATTCTTTCATAAAATATTTCCATTTGATATAAATTCATATCAATACATCTCAAAGCACTTTACACTGAGTTGCTGTGAAATGCAGTGACCATTATACAGGCAAACACTGTAGCTAACCTGTGTAAACATTGACCATTAATCTTTCTTTGGTGAATTTAAATGAGGAGTAATGTTGACCAGGAAATAGTAACAACCAACTCTGTGCTCTTTTTGGAAATAACCCTATGGAGTATTTTACACCCATTTTAAATCACTAGAACCAAATAGCATACTGCAGGGTTGCTCTCCACCTCCCAATAATGCACATTCAGACTTTCGTTAAAACCAGATCAAAATTAAATTGCAATATTGCTATCGTTACGTTCAGTAGTATTAACAGACCACTCAGTGCATAATGTATTCATTCACATTTTACCCATTTTTACTCTTGAAATCTGTCTGTCAGCCCGTCTCTTCACCCACTCACTGATTATCACACTTGGAAATTACTATGAAACTTGTACAATATGTTGAAATATGACAACAAAAGGTTCAAAATTCTACCTGCTTAGTGCTAAGAAAACAGAGGCGGCATGACTGTTTTAGGTTTGGGAAAAATAATTATTGAAATGGAAAGGTATTATGATGTCAATAAGCTTTGTTTGATCTGGCAGAGATTGAAGAAAGTAATATCAGGATATGAAAGTTGTACACAATATTTAAGGGAAAGCTAGATAGGTACATGAGGGAGAAAGGAATAGAAGGTTATGCTTGAAGGCTTAGTTGAGGAAGGGCAGGAGGAGACTCATGTGGAGCATAAGCACCGGCATAGATCAGTTGGGCCAAATGGCCTGTTTCTGTGCTGTATATTCTAATGTATTCTAGATTATTATCTTAGAAATATACAGCACAGAAAGAGGCCATTCGGCCGTCGTGTCTATGCCGGCTCTTTGAAAAGAGCTATCCAATTCAATCCCACTCCCCCACTCTCCTCCCATAGCCCTGCAAACTTGTCCTCCCCAAATAATTATCTACTTCTCTCTTAAATATTGTTATCGAACCAGCTTCCACCACCCTTTCAGGCAATGCATTCCAGATCTGAACAACTCGCTGTGTCTCCTCATCGCCCATCTCTTTCTTTTAATAATTATTTTAAATAAATATATATCGTGGAAAGCAGTCTACCAATCGACTAACAACTGGTTGAAGTATGATGTTTGGGGCAAATTACAAACTATGCACAAAGAATCTCCTATCTTGAATTTGAGATTTGTGAATGTTTCCAGTGACTAAAGATGGAATGAAGTGGCAATTGATGCTTCTTTGCAAAGCCTAGTTTGTCAAATCTAGTTTAATCACTCACATTAAGTACATTGTTGAATGCAATAAAAAGTATATATTGTAATCATACATCATTAATCACCACCCATTTCCCACAGAATAATGTTTGCCAGTTTATTAAGGATTCAGTACAGTATTTTCAAATTTACTAAGACTATAGGGACATTTCAAAATCATAAACTGACCAATAAATCAAAGCTTCTGCATTAAAAGGAAATCTGAAGGCTGAAATTATTCATTACTGTGGCCTTAAGACTACTTAGTTAACATAAAATGCAGAATTTAGGGAAACTGGTAAAAGTCAGTCCATAATTTTGAAACAGGTTTTCTCCAGCTACTAAATAATAAAAATGTTTCCAAAATTCTGCACAATTTTAAGTCAAAGGTTTTCAAGTCTAAGCCAATGAGAAATTTGGTGTCCCTTATTTCTATTGCTGAATTAACATTCATAAAATACTTTCTGAAGAATTTGAAGAAATATCTAAAATGATACAGAAATAAGTTACAAGGCTCACTCATCAAACTAAAGTTAAAGTGAATAATAATTCAAGTTACCTCTGGAGGAAGTTCTGTTATGAAATTGTGATCTGCTGCAAATGTTCTCTGATTATGTATCTGTCCAATCGTAGATGGCAAGGTTTCAATCTCATTGAAGCTGCAATCAAATTCTTCCAAAGATGAAAGCCTGCACAAATAGAAGCAGCCTTTTAATGCCATAGACTCCAGAATGTTTTTTTGCAATACTTTTTAAAATAGGCCAAACAACAGAAATCTAAACAGGATTTCATAGCAAGTTAAAGAGATAGCAAAGCATACAAACTAAGTATAATATGAAATGTGAAATACCTACCCTCCTACTGAATCTGGCAAATTTATCAGCTGGTTTTCATCCACCTTGAGTGCAGTTAATTTCTTAAGAGAACCTATGACAAGAGCAGTAAAGAATAATTAAACATTCATCAACACTGCTTACAATAGTTCCCAAAAGACAATAGTTCCCAAAAGGACTTAAGTTCAATATTGTAGAATGTCAATTTATTAAATTTTTAAGCTATATATTAGTTCTCAAAAACATAATTTTCTGCTTAAAACAAATGAGATTTTCTTCAGTTCAAGAATTTCATGAGATGTTTTTAAGAATGTAGGACCAGCAATGAAAACATGCCCTGCATAGGTACAGATAGAAATTTGGTACATTCTGCACATTTTCATTTCAAAGCTTTATCCTTCTATTTCCTCTTCATAGATGAAGTATACAAAATACTAAATGGGATAGAAAAAGTAAATGCAAACAATACATCAATGCAGTAGGACTTAAAGGGCATAAATTGAAGGATACGAAGAGCAATTTTAGCCTAGACACTGGGAACCGTTTCTTTACACAAATGGTAATTAACAGGTGGATTAGGTTACCAGGTAAAGTCAAAGGCCAGGATTTTGTACTAATTTAAGACACATCTTTATACTGCAATGGGAAAATAGTGAAGTGGGTATTCAGGAAAGATGGTATCACAAGGGTCAAGGGACATTTATTTAAAGCTGTCTTATGAATAATAATAATAATAACAACACTTGCATTTGATTCAAATCAACTTGTAGTTCAACTTGTGTATCTTTTCAAAGGAAATTTGCATTCATGGCATGGTGACAATTTATTCCACCAATTAATTCCTCTTCAGTTTACGGTTACCGATTTATAACATTCTCCCTATGTTTCACATAAACAACTTCCAACTCTTGATCAATTTCTTCCATAATTTAATCCTTGCATAAAACTTTAATATCTCCTCTCAGTAACGTTCTGAGCTACTTCTCCCATCACACTCAGATTGAGTTTCACAATTATCCTTGTTGCTGTTACCTTTTTCACTGTCCCAATATCTTTTAGCAGAACAGTAACTAGAATAAATACTCCAAATCTGGTTTTATTAGTTAACAATATTGTTAATAACTATTCTTTAGGTTGGAACTTTTGTATTTGGCTATGAATCTAACATTCCATCAGAGACTTTGTAGAAAGCCTTTGAACAATTAGCCTACCAGGACTCACTCCAGTTCGGTGGTATCAATCAGGTTGAAATTCGCATTTAATCTAATCTTACCACACAGTCCTTTTGGACCCCAGCATGAGGAAAAGGAATAGCAGGGTATAGAATCCAAGTTAAAGCATTTAATGAAATATAACATTGTATCATATTTCCTCCCATACCCTCAATGCTTTAGGTTTTATGCCTTCAAGATGTGTATAGATTGCAAAATATGGCATTGGTTACAATGGAGCCATTCGGGAATTTCTTGGCTCTGTGTCTCAATGAGTTTTGTCTTGAATGAATGTGAATGAGGATAAGAGTCAGACAGTGTAAATCCCAATAATTTTCTCAATATTAATCATGGTGCAACTAAATCTATAGCTAGATTTAGACACCCAAGTTAGGGGCAAGGCTGTAGCAGAGAAGGCTGAGGGAAGAACTAAGTGAAATATTTGAGAACCCAAAGAGTATAGTATAGTCAGATAATGATTACCTGTCACATACTCTACTAGGGGGCACAAACATGAGTGAAGAGGAAGGTGATCTGTTCAGATTTAATTACTTTGCACAGAAAGGAATGACTATGAGAAATTCACTACCCAGATCACATCAGGACATCAGCACTTTCCGGAGAACACCGGATAGCTACTTGGTGAAAAAATTGACTAAGGGGTATGAAAGTTACATTAAATGCTTTGTGCTTTTTTAAAAAGATTTGGGTGGATCACAGTTATCTTTTCATGCGCTGTCCATTTCTGTCAGCAACAATTTTTTCCTTATAATTTACATCATCAACATTTCTCGTTTTTGAATTAGACAGATAACTGGACAAGATCAGATGACATTCTGATTTGCACACAAAGGTATTTATCATTTACCACAGAAAACATGCTTTCCCTGCCAACTTGTCTCTGAAGCTTATAAATTAAAAAAAGGTAACCGTAATCGCAGTCAAAGAGAAAGGTCTTTAGTCATGATCTAAGCGAAGGGAAAGAGGGGCAAGGCAGAGGGATTGGAGATGGGAGTTTCAAAACTTTGGGGCGTAGTGGCTGAAAGTGCAGCCACTGACGGAGCAGAGGGACAAGCAGAAGGCCAGAGCCAGATGAGAGACTGCAACGGGTAGCAGAGTGGAGAGAAAGCAGGTCAGAAAGGTAGGGAGGTGCCAGGGCAAGAAGGGATTTTGTAGATCAGTGAAAGGAAGCCAATGGAGCCTGGCAAAGACTATTGTGATGGGGATACAGAGTTTAGTGCGAATAAGGTCTGAATCAGTTGTGGAGCTGGGGAGACCGGTGAGGAGGACATTGTTGTAATCAAGGGTGGAGGTGATGAAGGTGTGGACGAGGATTTCGGCTGTGTTGGGGGAGACATCAGTTCACTTTAAAATAAATTGTTCAAACTATAACTTTGGGCTCATGGAAAATATGTCTCTGTTAAAGCATTCACTATATATAATAATAGAACTCATAAACAAACCAATAGAATCAGGTAGCTGTTGGAGTGCATTGCTGGAAAGCAGCAGATCCTGCAGGTTCTCACAGCCTGATATGGCATTATCAACCGTCTCTATGTTGTTTTTGGAAACATCCAAGTAGGTCAGCTGCTTTAATTTGCCAATGAACTAGAACGACAAAAGAAAAGGCTTTTGAGCACTGTATTTCAAGTCACATTTATAGGGCCAATATTTAGGATTATTAAACACAGCAAAGAATGCAGTAGATTACTGCATTTTTAATAAAAAGATATAGAAAGTTTCACGGGGCCTATTGAATCAATGCAACAAAAGAACCTTTATAATTTTTTTTACATTAATCATTTAGCTCAGAGATTCAACTGCGGTGGACTACTAAATTAATTTTTTCATCTAGATGAACAATAACTGCACTTAACATAGTTAATACCGGGTGCAACTTAAGCTATAACATTGAGCAGCACAGCACCACAAAGTGTCAGGGGCACCTGACAACTTGCCATTGACAAACTCCTTCCAAGCTCCTTACATGTCTATGGCACAACCATTGTAAGCCTTCAACTCTGATTGTTGACTATCTGGAAAACTGTTTTAATTTCTTTTTTTCAGGCAATATTTAATGAAGATACTGAAAATATCCAGAGTCCAAACAGCCCTCTAATAGTCAGCATTCTGAGCAGCAATTAACCATGTTCGGTATACTTATTGATTATCTGCACACAAAGCTGAAAGAAAATGGGTGAAAAGTTTTGAAACGATACTTTGTGAAAAACTGAATTTAGGATTATTTCTATTTTGGGCTTTTGAGTAGGTTTCCGATTGTGATGCAAGTATTCTCAGCCTTTGTGCGTGAATGGAAAACTGGTAGAACTGGTTGGCCAAAGGACGAAGGAGCTTCAGCAGACCTGGTGGCACCCTGACTGGTGATCGAATTCCATATGTGACTAATGCCTTACATACAAATCGGTAACTAGGGGTACAGAACTTTGAGAGAGGAGGAACAAGAAACATGCTTGTAGAATCAATCATCAATTAATTGCAAATATTGCACTTTCTTCAGTTAGTATAACTGTGGCATTAAAATTGTTTTTTAATCTTTTTTTCTGTACGTTACTTTATTATAGATGTCCTAATCGAGCATCCTTGCCAACAACAAAATTACATTTGTTTAGCGCCTTTCACATCGGGAGGACGTCCCAAGGCGTTGGACAGAGAGTTACGGACTGCTGAGCGGAGGGAGCAAATAGGATGGTAGGGGGTTAGGCGGTTGGAGAGGTAGGGGGGAGCAAGACCGTGGAGGGCTTTGAAGGTGAGGCCCAGGATCTTGAACTGCATCCTCTATGTGATGGGCAATCCTCCAGATTAATTAATCATTCACATCAATGCTGTTATTGGGCCATGCTGGCACAAATGCTGCCAAATTTATCTACGTAAACAGTGACTGCACTTGCCAATAATTAATAGTAAAGGGTTTTTGGAGGTTTCACTTCGAACCACATACTTTTTGCATGTACTAATGCATACAGTGAAGAGTTTCCTACAAAAGGCTTCATAATAATAATCCTTGCATTTGATATAGCACCTTATTACGTTGTCAATATGTCTTAAAACGCTTCACAGGATATACTGTAAAGTGGATTGACTGTGTACTTTGTTATCCACTCTGGATCTGATCTTACATTTCCAGATACCTAGCTCCCTCACCCATCCACCCTGAATGAGAAACTTGTATTTTTATAGAAGTTTGAGCTCAAAGTGATTTACAGATTACAATTGTTGCTATGTAAGGGGGACTTCCCATCTCCAACTTATGAATTGTAAATAAGAAAGGGTAAGTGTGGATGTCTGAACCCTTTTTGAACACTGGTAATTCCAGTTAGAAATTTATGACCCTTATAACTGTGGTGTGCGACTAAACATTGTTCTTTTTATGTTATAATAATCTTTGCACTTGATACAGCACGTTATCACGTTATTGAGATGTCTCAAAGCACTTCACAGGATATGCTGTAAAACAGATTGACTGTATTTTGTGTGTGATACACGGCAGCCAGTTGTGCATAGCAATGTCTCACAAACAGCCATGGAGTGCATGACCAATTTTATTTGGGGGTTTGTTGGCCAGCACACTGGGAGAAACTCCCTTCTCTTTTTGAATAGCGTCATGGGATTTTTAATGTCTTGATCATTCAGTAGGGACCTTGGTTTGACGTCTCATTCAAAGGATGCAATACACACCCAGCATTGCATTGGAGTGTCATCTTAGACTACGTGATTCCCAACATAAGGCTTGAAACCACAACCTTCTGACTGAGAGGCGAGAATGCTTCCATTTAGCCAAGCTGACATCAGTGTCAGGTCTTCACCATGCCAAACTCACATGACTTTTCCTATTTTAGCTGCTGCCAAGATGAATTAGAAGAAACTTCTGGCGTTATCATCAGTTTGGGCCCAAAACCAGCAAAACCTTGAATGCATTAACAATAGCCCCTTCCAATTACTTTCATATGAAGCTCATCTCTTGCCAATGAACAACTGAATTATACAGTTGCGTCCGTTAACAGTTTAGAGCGGGTCTATAGCACGGTTGCACCATGGTCAGCTTCCTGTGCACAGGAAGTGACATTGGTGACGACCATTTTCACAGCATACCTTATTATAAAGAGGTCTGACCTTATGGACCTAAATTACTACATTATAGACTAGTACTAGTGTTGTACACATACCCCAGGGAGCACTGCAAGCCTATTGCCATCCATCCAAAATTCCTTTAGTCCAGTCAATTGTTCTAATACTTCAGGCTGCGGGAGTGAAAAAAGAATTCCTTTAAATCACTTTTACATACAACACATCTAAGGAATGCATTTTAACAACACATTTGGTTGCAAGTCCAACCTAAATCAGCATATCTAGAAGTGACATTTCTGATTGAAGAGAAAAGTCCCACTTCAGGCAGGCAGAAATTTAAATTTAAAGTTATTAATTTGCACCAAAACAACAAATACCAGCAGTTTAGCTCAAACATTTGAAGAATAACAGATTCTGCATGTTATACAGCAAAGATTGAATTAAATCTACATGACATATTGAAATGGTTATGTGGAGGGACGAAAAGAAATTAACTGCATTGACAACAGCCAAAAGCTGCAATTTAGTAAAACCCTGAGTTACCAATTGTCTGAGCCCATAAATCCTGCTATGACCTCCTTTTCTATGCAATAACCCATATAGCACACATTGCACATTTTTGTTCATAAAAAAACTCAAGCATTTATTTACCGCAGATTTTAGAAGAGCCCTGTTCAATCTCAGTGAATCATGCTTTTCTTTAACCTTGAACAAACCTCTTAAGCTGCATGTAATCTTTTGTTTTTTGATTAAAGATAGATTTTAAAAAGGCAAACAGCTTTAGGAATGGCAAAAATGCAGAGACCCTTTTTTTTAACAGGAACTACTTACCACTTCTGTGAACTCATTACTTCCCAAATCTAATCTCTCCAACTGGGTGAGTCTGTTCATGGTTCTACAAAATCAAGGAACAGAAAAACAGGGCAGGAGACATGAAACAGATTAGTGCATGTACTGACAGTTTATGGAGATTTAAATTCCAAAGCTATTTGAGATTTCTGTTGCAAGATAGTTAGCCATAACCCTACAAAATTCACCAAGACATTTTAGGAGTTATGGCTAAGATTATAAGTAACCACAAATATAGTCAAAGCTAACCAGTTTACTACACAAAAAAACTGAATTGTGGGTTTTGGATTTTAAATAAGAGATCACAACAAAGCACAGTTGAACAAATACTTAAAAATAGTAAAGATTACTTTGCTTTTAAAAAAAATGCATCAATCACTTCACATACTGTAGGTACCTTTCCCTTACTGCTTCACTTCTTGTTGGTTCTGTATAATGAGATTCGATAAGTGAGTGTTTCTAGTGCGTTTGCAATTTGAAGGAGATGATCAAATTCAAGACTGTATAACAGCATCCTCAGAGTATTTTTCCAGGATCCCACAAAATAGATCTATGAATACTAATCATTTCACATAATGCATGCAACATACTAAGCATGTTTCGGCAGATAGCACACTGTGTTAAGAGCCATAATTAACAGCCAAAATCTGCAATTTTATATTTTGAAGCACATCATTGTAGTTGGAAATAAAAGCCTTAAATTTTGTACGAGTAGATGAATGATGCAGCGCAGCTGTGCTAAGAAATGCATCTTAAAATTGCTATAAAAGAAGACAGCTTCCCTTGGTTATGTTCTGCCTAGTAGCTTCATTACTTATTTCTGTCAAAATGGGCTTATCTTGCTGCTGCTGTGATGGGAGTGCAGAACAGGATGCCTGGCATCCCAGTTCAATGTAGGAATTGGATTACAGGCACGTTAACACAAAATCATGTCCCATAATTAAGACAGTCTCATGCACATGCATTTCTTGAAATCCAGAATTCTCTGCTCTGTGAGAAATGGTAATTGAATTACCACTCTTTAACCCATTTAATCTTCTATTGAATATGCAGGTTGAATGATTGTTATCAGAACAGCCAATAACAACCCTCCTCCCATCATATGAAGGTAATGAAATACCTGATCACATTTTACAATGGAGTGCTCATAACAAGACTGCCCCAATATAAATAATCAAGTTGCCATCCAAGATCCCTCCCCCAAACCCCCATCCATCTGTACTATTCTACAACCAAAATACTACTGGAATATAAAATGTTTTTATGTATTAGCATTTTGAAATCCCAACTTCTAAATGTTTAATGCAAGACTGTATCAGCTACCATCCTGCTCTCTCCCTCCGCTCAGCGGGCTCCCGCCTGCTTCACGTCCCACTATTGGCAGGCGGGCCTTCCACCACTCTGCTCCCACGCGCTGGAACTCCATACCGCAGTCCCTTCACCTCAACCCCTCCCTTGTCATCTTCAAGACCCATCTCAAGACCCTCCTCTTCGACTGTGCTTTCGATCTCCCTGCTTTCCCCCCTGCCCTCCACCCTCCCCCACCTCGACCCCCAGCTGGGGTCCGTAACTCTGTCTGTCCAGCGCCTTGGGACATCCTCCCAACGTGAATGGCGCTTTACAAATGTAATTTTGTTGCTGTTGTATCAGTCTTATTGCAATAGTTGCATTGAATTTTAACCAAGGACAGTAATTTAATTCTGTTGGTGAAGGTAGAACTGCAGTCTCACTTGGTTTTATATTGTAAAACCTGTAAAAACTTCACTATTCACCACTTCAATGGCAATTTGTTTTCTTGTATTATGCCAGGCTACTTAGGTCAAATTCTGTTCTTCAAGTTCACATTTTAGGATTTGCTCATTCTCTGATTTGTAAGCATTTCACCCAATCCTTTAATAATGTCAATGTCTGGTGGAGAATATTTGCTCTGTTGACTGTTCTTATCACCATCAAAACATTCACATGGATCCAAAATCACACCCAAGCAAAGATAATCACTTTTAAGGAACTGAGCAGACTGCCACTGGTGAGCTCATTGTAAAGTTAAGCTGCTGACTGAGCTCCCTCTGGACTTCTTTATGGCAGGTCAGAGGTCATATTTTGGCTCTGACAGATGTTTGCAAAGAGTTTCTCAAACACAGTGGCACATTGCACCAAAATCCCTTTAGCTCACTACTTTTTCAGGCAGCAAACAGGATTCGTCCTTGCGTTGAAGCAGCATGCTGCCATGTCACTGCTCTACATTTCTAGACAAACAGACCTAAAACATTCAAGCATTTGAAATATCTAAATCAATTCTAACATCTGGAACCTAAAAATGTACAATAAAACAGTTGATTTTATTTACCAAATCCTTTATTTTACAGATGAAATCATACCAAGGAATTAACCTACACTGTAGTATTGTTTTAAGTTGAAACACTCAGATGGAAGATTGGGGTCTGTTTAACTTAACCTCTCACATAGAAAATGCCAGCATGAATCACATTAGACCTTGGAGAGAAACATGGAATCTACAACGCAGAAGGAGGCTATTTGGCCCACAGAGCAAGAAGAACAATTGAATCCCACTGCCTGTTTATCCTCACAAGTGCTGCCTGGGTTCGATTCCCGGGAAGGGCGAAACGTTGGACAAGTTTCCTTAGTCCACACGTCTCTGATTATCTAGCAGTAAGTAGAAACCTGGTTGTTTGTCAATTGGCAGATCATATTTCCAGGGGTAATAATCCCTTAAAAAAAAAATAATATGGTTACTCAATCCACAACTGTTTGTGGGACACTCCCCAATCGGCTTAAATAATAGAATAATAAATAAGTCCTTGCATTTGATGTAGCGCTTCTCATGTCTTCTAGACGTCTCAAAGTGCTTCACAGACAACAACAACTTGGATTTATATAGTGCCCTCCACGCCGGACGGCGTCTCAGAGCACTTCACAGTAACAGATCCCGGGACCGAGCCAGGGGGAAGGGGAGGAAGGTGACCAAAGGCGCTGTCGAAAAGAAAGGTCTTCAGCAGAGATCTGAAAATAGGAAGAGAGGGGGCGAGGTAAAGGGAGTGAGGAAGGGTGTTCCAGAGCCTCAGGGCGTAGTGGCTGAAGGCACGGCCACCGAGGGTGGAGCAGAGGACTCGGGGGACAAGGAGGGGGCCAGACCCGGAGGAACAAAGGCAACGGGTACTGTTTTGAGGAGAGAGGAGGTCAGAGAGGTAGGGGGGTGCAGAGGAGTGGAAGGATTTGAATACATGGGTGAGGAAATCGATCCTCACTGGGACAGGGAGCCATTACAGTCTGGCGAGGGCTGAGGTAATCAGGGAGCAGAGTTTGGTGCGGGTGAGAATGCGGGCGGCATAGTTTTGAATAATCTGGATTTTAGGGATGGTACGAGGAGGACATTTGAATAGTCCAGCCAAGAGGTGACAAAGGCACAGACCAGGGTTTCAGCAGCTTTTGGAATGAGGCATTAGCGGAGACGGGCGATGCGTCAGAGGTGGAAGAAAGAGGCACTGGTGAGGGACCGGATGTGGGGGAGGAAGGATAATTGGGGGTCGAACCTGACGCCTAGGTTGCGTACGGGTTCGGAGAGTTTTAGGGGGAAGTCGGGTAGGTGGAGGAGGTGGGAACCATGAGATTTTAGACGTTGACAAGAGCCAAAGAGTATGAATATACTGTATTATACATAATATACTGTAAAGTGAATTGACTGTATAGTTGTGCGTGAATCGCGGCAGCCAATTGCGAACACCAGCATCCCACAAACAGTCATGACCAATTGAGTGACCAAATTATTATTATTATTTTGTTGAGGGATTATTCCGTGTTTCGCCCACAAAACACAAGTCAATTCACTTTACAATATATTGTGTGAAGAGCTTTGAGACGTCTCGAAGAAGTGATAAGGCACTACATCAAATGAAATGATTATTATCATTATCCTAATATCCATTTCACATCCCTCTCTGTCAGAAGCCCGTCTACTTCCCTCTTGAAAGCCACAATGGACTCTGCCTCCACCACCCTACTCGGTAGGGCATTCTACATCCCAACTCTCTGACAAAGCAAATGTTTGTAAGATACAGCACAACAACCTATCACAATAGAACTCAAGTTCACTTGCTTTATAAAGCACTGTCTTATAGAAGTTGGTTGTTGTTGTTGTCATTATCCACACAGTGAATTAACTGGGACATATTTTCTTTGTATAACTTGAACTTATAATAATAACTTATAACCCATAGAATTTGCTGGTTCTAATCTTATTCTGAAATGAGCGAACTGATATCAACCAGGGAGGTGGTAAAGGTGCTACAATTACCCTCACTGCCACTTGGTTAGGGAGGAGACAATCAGCTCGGGGTTAGGCACTCTATTGGTTATGTAATGCCTTTTGCTAAAAAAAGCTCAATTGTGGATGTTGGATAACAGGGGCTGTTAAACGACATCCTGACCCTGTGTGACCAGGGCTCCCTCTGCCTCCTTGACCTCTCCACCGCCTTTGACACCGTGGACCACTCAATCCTCCTCCACTGCCTCTCCTCCCACCTCAACCTTCAAGGCTCTGTCCTTGACAGGTTCAGGTCCTACCTTTCACACCACCTCCACTTTGTCGCGGAAAACAGCTTCTCCTCCAGCCCCCGCACCGTCTCATGCGGTGTTCCTCAGGGCTCGGTCCCCTCCTCTTCACCCTCTGCATGCTCTCCCTTGGTGACATGGGGTAAATTTCCACATGTATGCAGATGACACCCAACTCTACCTCTCTGCCTCCACACTCAACTCCAGGACAACTGGCATCCTGACCGACTGCCTGTCCGACATCAAGTCCTGGACGAGGGACAACTTTCTCCAACTCAACGTCAGCAAGACCGAGGCCCTCCTGATTGGCTCGCGCCAATGCCTCCGCACCTCAGGCGCCGGCAGCATCAGCCTCCACGACTGCACACTCAACCTCACTATGCCAGTCAGGAACCTGGGAATCTTGTTTGACCCTGAATTGTCCTTTCTTCCCCACATCCGCGCCATGACTGGCACTGCCTACCACATCCTCCGCAACATTGCCAGACTCCGCCACTGCCTTACCCCTCAGGCTGCAGAAACCCTCACCCATGCATTCGTCACCTCAAGGCTTGATTACGGGAACTCCCTCCTCATCGGTCTTCCCAACTCTTCTCTTCACAAGCTGCAGATCATCCAAAACTCTGCAGCTCGTGTACTCTTACGCACCAGGCTCCGTGACCCCATCACTCCCACCCTCGCCCGACTCCACTGGCTCCCCATCCCCCAGAGGATCGAGTTCAAGATCCTCGTCCTCACCTTTAAGGCCATCCATGGCCTTTCCCCCCTACCTCTCTGACCTGCTGACTCCCTATGAGCCTGCCCGCTCCGCTCCCTCCATTCATCGGGCTCCAGCCTGCTCCGTGTCTCCCGCCCGACACGTCCTACCATCGGTGGCCGGGCTTTCAGCCTCTCTGCCCCCACACTCTGGAACTCCATCCCACGGTCCCTTCACATCACTTCTTCCCTTGCCTCCTTCAAGGTCAGTCTCAAGGCCTTTCTCTTCGACCGTGCCTTTGGTCTCTCTCCCACCTCTCTGCCTTCCCTTACCCCTACACCACCCCCCTCCCCCATGCTCGGACCCCGACACCTGACTGTTCAGCGCTTTGGGACTTCCTCCCGACGTGAAAGGCGCTCTATAAATGTAATTTTGTTGTTGTTGTTTGGAATCATGTCTACTATTTGCATTTATGATTTCCCCAGCTGATAGAAAAGAAGAAATTCTCCTCATAGGGTTTTGGCTAAGATAAATTGGGGAATTTATGATCACACAGCACAGAAACCACCCCTAATTAAGTACTTAGTCAGAAAAATTACAGGATGGTTGGTATCACACTGACATATATCATATATATACATATATATATACACACTGATATATATATATATATATACTGATATCACACTCTGCCTCCAACCTCTGGAATTCCATCCCCCAGTCAATCTGCCTCGCCGCCTCCTGAGCCTCCTTCAAGTCCCGCCTCAAGACCCTCCTCTTCAACCATGCCATCGGCCACCCCCCTTCCCCTCCCCTATCCCCCCCAACCCCAGCTCAGATCTGAAATGCTGTACTCTGTCCAGCGCCTTGGGATGTCCTCCCGACGTGAAAGGCGCTATACAAATGTAATCTTGTTGTTGATACAACTTTGGAGATTGAGACTAAGCCACACTGTTTAGTGGGGTGGGAAGAGAACTTTATTTGGGATCTAAGTATCCTATTTCTGGCCTATTCCTCTCAACCCTCTTCTTCGACCATGCCTTCGGTCACCCTCCTACCCCTACCCTCCCTGGCCTCCACCCTCTTGATCCTAACCACCAGCTCGGGTGCGGATCCCTAACTGTCCAGCGCCTTGGGACATTCTTCTGACTTGAAAGGGGCTATACAAATGTAATTTGTTGTTGACCTGAATACTTGGATAGACTGAATAGCCAAAATAAAAATGTTTCATTCTTAGAATTATCATTACTCACTCCGATCTTAACAGAAAATAGCGAAAGATTTGGGTTTGAAATCTCATCAAAAGTTTCACAACCATTTTGCTGACATTACTGTAAATGCTACCACGTGAATGACCCGCTAAGTCAGGTACTGGATATAGTAACACTAGTATGCACCACATGTTTTTTTCCAGTAAACCATATTCTGCAAAATCTAACTTGTTCTTAAGATTGTTTTCATAAGCTTGTTTAAAATAGCCTCACATTGGAAGAATTATGATCATCTTAGTTGATCAGCCCTTATTTCTTGGCTTTTTTTAAAAAATGATGGGATCAGGGGAGAAGACTTAGAAAAGTTAACGAGCTCCAGCAGTCTGACAGAGATGAATTAACACACAAAGAGCCAAGGTCACTGAATTGACAATTCTGCTTCCTCACACCACTGGGACATTTCCTCTTTTGTTGTGAAATCAAACACTCAACTAGTTGAATATAAACATTCACAACTTTTACCAAGATTGTTTGATGCTTTCAAGTTCAAAATGGGATACTAATGGGAAAGCATCATCAAATTGAAAACTTCACACTAAAACTTTAGATACAAATTAGATACAGTATAATTCTTACTTTGGTAACATCTTCAGTTGATTTTCTCGCAGCTCTAGAATCTGCAGTTTAATTAATCTAAAAAAGAAAAGACCATGTAAGCGAGTGGACAAAAACAGGTTAATCACACACCAACTTGTGCTCTAATAAGTATGACTGTATTTCAATAAGGTATTACAATGTGCAGTACATACAATTTAAAATTTGAAAATTATCACAAATCAGTGCTGGCTTGATGAATGAAATGATAAATAATAAAAATAATTCTTGCATTTGATATAGAGCCTTATCACATCTTTGAGACGTCTCAAAGCTCTTCACAGAATATACTGTAAAGTGAATTGACTGCATAATTCTAATGTAATTTTCAATCTTGCAATTTGATCCATTGATCAGGCCACATGGACAATAGAAACAAGACTTGTATTCAACACCAGCATAAATCCAGGCAATTTTAATGCCCTATTTATAACTGTGTTAATGTAATGTTTCTATATCAAATCAACTCTAAAGGTCCAACATGAATCAGATTTGAAGCGCTTATGAATCAGGTTTCATAGGCATCTATTAGCCCCAAAAACAAATTGGTGAAGCCTCAGGCCCTGGGTTCAAGAATTAAATCAATGTATACGTATGGCTCAGTTTCACTCTAGCCAATGACTTTGCGAAATGAGTTATTAGCAAACTGCGGAAACAATTTTATCAGTAACCAGATAATTCATAAATGGTCACTTCTTGGAATGATCAGTTTAGTGGCACTTACTTCAACTGTTGTATGGTTTACTCATGCAATATTTTATGTATTGGATCGAGGCCACGTTTTCAGCCACTATACCCCGTAGCTTTGGAACTCTCTCACCCAATCCCTCCATTTTATAATTATAATTCTTGTGTTTGATATAGTGCCTTAACACGTCTTCGAGACGTCTCAAAGCACTGCACAGAATATACTATAAAGTGAATTAACTGTATATTTTTGTGACATTGCACCCTCCTTCCACTCTTTTAGATCATGAATGAAGACCTTCTACTTCAACCGTGTGTACAGTCACCGTTAGCTCAGTCTCCGTCACTATTAAGTGCTCCGAGACATCCTCCTGGTGAAAGGCGCTATACAAATGTAAGTTGCTCTTTTATTAATCATTGTCAATAGTATTTCTTTGTCCGTCTTGTTCTGGCTATGGAGATGCCATTACAAACAAAATTCAGTACTCTGCTTATTCAAAAAAAAAGTAAAATGTAAAGAATTATGAACGCTCTTAATGTACATAAGCAGTTTGTTACAGTAGTGATATTTAACCCACCTATATATCAGCACAAGATAACGTGGCAGCATTCAGGATTATTTTCTTTTTTATCTGCTTACAAATCACCACGATGAAAGCAGATTTAGAAAATATAATCCAGTACATTAAGACTGTTCATAAATCACTGCTCCTTTCAACACATTGTTCAAAGAAGGACTGAACTATTCCTCACAATACAGTAATCTGTACTCCTAAAAGATATACTCCAACAACAAGCCATAATGGAAATGCTGCAGTGTTCAGTTGCCGCATCTCCAATTACCAGGTTCACCAGGACTACCAATCATCCACACATTTAAACTGTTTATAACCAATACATGTCTAACAGACATCTGGAAACCCTCATAAGGTACTGCGATTACTTGAAGTATTGAATGTCATGGCTTACAAAGAAACAATGAACAGAAATACTGACCTCTGTGCATGCAGTATTCAGACCACGTTAGTAGCAAATATGACTTGTTTATGTGTCAAGTCATTTCTGAATAATCTCAGTACTTTTCCCAGTTAGCTGACAGATGGTATGCTAATAGTTATAAACTGCTTATGTTACCTTGCTTTAGGTGTCGGCCTAGCTTATTTGGTAGCACTTGCACCTTCAAGTCAGCAGGTTGTGGGTTCAAGCCCTATGTTTGATATTTAAATTCACACAGGCTGACACTCAAACACAGTGCTTGGGGTGTGCTGCACTGTTAGAGTTGCCTTCTTTCAGATGAAATTTAAACCAAGGTCTTGCTTGTCTGATTACTTACTGAACCAGGACATTTTACTACTTGAAAGCTGTTTTATAAGAGCAACTTGTTGGAACTAAGCACAAAGGAATATCAGGAAAATTATATGGAGAATGAAACCTCATTTATACCTTCTGCTCTTTATCACACCTAATAAAGAGTTTGGGAATTAAAACCACCTTCAAATCAAGCCACTCGTCTCATACTGTAATGTGGAGATTCAACCTGCTCCTGAAATGGTTCACTTTGTTACCTTTCTCCCTGCCTTGAAAAATCCTCTTAAAACATTTCTCTTTGACTGCTCTGTTGGTCACACCTTATTAATGTCTTATTTCTCTGCTCGGTTAAGGTTAGGTGCACAATTACAATAGTCAAATGTTTTGAGGCTATATAAATGCACAAGTCTCAGATGGACTCTGGAACCAAACTCCAGTAAACTGGGAAAATTCATAACAGGCTGGTTCAATGCCCCCGTAGCTGAGTTATAAGTGTACAGGAAGTGGCAGCCTGGCAACTCGGAAGTCAGTCATTTTTAAGGCGAGGAAGCTGGCTAGTTAGCTTGACTGACCACTGACTAGCACAGGTCAGCATTATACCTACACTGTAAGTGAGGCAGTGCTTATATCACAGGGTTCCTTCAATGTCGCAATCTATAAATGTAGTACTCAATCCTTTTTATCTAGTTCCTTCTGGAAACCCCTAATAATTGCTTGTTCTATCAGCTGTGTTGGGAGTATAAGAGAAAGCTGAATACTTCTGAACTGTTCAATCTAACATGCAACTTAAGTTTAAAAATGGAGGCAGATTTAACCCCTCATTGCACCATTTTCCATGCAGACATCATTGAGGTTGAGATTTTGCTCCTGGCTGGCTCGAAGAGCTATGGCACCCTGACTGCCACATTGGCTGAGAATAATTAACTCAGCCTAGAATGCATTGAACCTGGGACAACCTCCTGACTTGTATTTCTTTTTGGTCAGCCCACAAAATACACAGTCAATCCACTTTGAGATGCCTGAAAGGTGTGATAAGGCGCTTTATCAAATACAAATATTATTATTGTTATTATTAATGTCACCAAGTAGCTGGGCCGAACAACCTGTTTGAAGCTGAGGATTCTATGCATGTAATTTTATGCATGTACCTGGTTATTAGTAATATAAGTTTCTGCTGTTTTCAGGCAGGAATATACCATTTGTGTCTCTTACCCCTCCCATCCAGCCACATAAAAGATTACTGGAAAAAGTTCTGTCAAAACGTGGTGATCATAGTGTTCCTGGGGTCAGTCATTGTATTTTCACACACGATTTGATTTGACGACCACATCATTACATCCTGGAAAATGACTCCATATGTAGTGCTGATTGGCAAACACTGTAATTAGTTCTTTCTCAGCATACCATCAGTTGAAAGCAAATTCCTTTGCAGTCAGCAGTTAAGCAGTGAAAGAAAGAAATATACTTCCTATCTAAAAACCTAGATAACGTTCAATTAAAATTGAAGTTTGTTTCAAGAAGCAGAATATGCAAATGAAACAGTTCAGTTGAGTTAATCTCATTTCACATTTCCTTTAAGTGAATGAATGTTCAGCTATAAGACACTCACTTAGCAATAGTAGAGGGCAACAAATATAACTGGGCCAAGTGTTATATGATTATATCAGGCACAACTTAATTTATTTTATGACGGAGGGGGGAAGAAAGAGAGAGAATAAACAAGCTCACTTACTTTCCGAAGTTTGCTGGTAAAAATTCCAAAAAGGCATCATTTAGGTAAAGCTGAGTCAGATTTAGTAACTGTGTGAAGCCTTCCGGTAGCCTGGAACAAAAGGTCAGTGTGTTTAGTGGGGAAGCGGGGGGAGAGAGCTGAGGGGCCAGTCCCTTAATATTTTGACATGGGGTGGAAATGGCAAGTCTGCAGACACCAAATTGATTGCAAAATTTAAGATGTTTGGATACAATACAAAAATGCATAAGAATGTCTTGAATGTCAGTCAAACGTAAAGGGAATACTTAAAAATCCCAAACCCGTACTGAATTCCGTACTAGTACTGAAAAATAAGTGAATATTTCAATGTCAAGAGCACATTATTATATAAAATAAGGAACTTGTTGATTATACAAACACTGAATGCCATTATGCAGGATAGCAATTGAAACTAAAATGAAATATTTCTGGTGTAAACTGAGCTAGGGAATACAAATCAAGCAAAATGAGATGGAAACACTAAGGTAATTGGCAAAAGTTTTGCAAATAAAGGAGGTGGAATTAAAGGACAATTCTATATTTTGGATCATTGAGCTTAAAGAGTGAGGCAAAAGAAGCTAAATTAATTCTCATGAGAAAAATATTGGTGTAAAACCCAAGCTGCCTTGTTTGCAGTCAACAATGCAGTGACAGACTATCAGTCTTCATGATACCACACTGAAAAGTAAACTCCGTTTTAACTACCCTAACCAGAAAAAACTTCGAACACATTCTTTATTAAACCTGCCTAGTTAAAGAGTAACCTCATGCTTTGAACTATTCCCAATGATGTTTATCTAGTGCAATGGATGTGGATTTTGTTGAAGCATTAGAAAAAATATGAATTAATCAGTCAAAAAGATAGGAAAAGCGATTTTTCTAAAAATTGCATTGCACACTGAAATAAAAGCGAGTTGGATAGGCTGAAAATGGATGTTTCTCATTCCTATATTCTTATGAAAAATCCACGTTTTGCTAATCTCCAGTTATAACTCACTCAGACTTATAACTTGGTATATCACACCTATATCACCAAGGGGAACAAAACGATGCTTGCAAGCTGCATTGTGAATGAAGAATAATGAGAGTTCAAATTTAATCCAATTTTTTATATACATTTGTGTTATAAGCCCAATTAAATTATAATAAACACCCCAAAGATGTACTTGGTATCATTTAGTAATGCCCCTTTTAAAACATCAATACTGTAAATTGAAAATAAAGTATTCTTAAAATCCAGTACAAAAGGATTGGTTGCACTGCGATTAACATACAAGTAAGGAAATGACTTAAAAGAGATAAGCAAGTGACTAACAATTAGGATTTCGTAGGATACAATATTCCAAAAGGCAAATGTTCCACAAACCAACTCCCCCCCACCCCCTCCCCAAAAAACATGTTTTTTATGCATATCAATATTTATTGTGTTGATCTAACACAAATCCATTCAAAAGAACAAAAAAAACTCACTTTGCAATAGGATTTACACTGGCCTCAACAACAGATAGGACCCTGCAGTTTTTGATATTTTCTGGAAATTCTTGAATGCCTGAAAGATATTTAAAAAGGTCTATTTATTCCAACAGTTACACATCAGCAAAAAAAGTGTCTAGATAAATGTTATATAGATACATCCTGCTTCGAAATAAATGATACAGGACAATATTTGAAAAAAATACAGACCATTATTCTTTAGTCTAAAATTTATTTACACCATGTACATTCCACAATGTCTATATTGTAATCAATTTTAGAAATGCTCCCAATTCTGAGTTTTTAAGCACAATCTTACATTGTTTCTATCAACCATTTTATCCACATACACAAAATGGTAGATTTTAAAGTTGGCAAAGGAACATGAATTATTAAACCGTATCAAGATTCAAAGTCGTGTCATTTTTATTTTGCTTAAGTAAGCTCCTGTTGACGAAGACTACTGCATGCTCTTTGTTGCAACACATATGCACCATATGTAAGATATTAAGTCCTGAGAATATTTTAAAATTGTGCGACTTGGTGAGACCACATCTGGAAGTATTGCCTGAGGTTTTGGTCTCCCTCATTTCACACCAGGTTTTCATTTGTTGGAGAGAATGCAGGAGAGGGTTGCAAGATTAATTCCAGAATGCAAGGACAGAAAGGTTGACTTCCATTGAACAGTTTCTCTTTCTCTCTTGAACGAAGACTGGGGGACTAGGGGGAGAAGAGAGGGACAACTCGCTGCAAGGTTAAGATTTTAAAGGGTTTGGAAAATATGGATCGTAATATACCGTGTGCAAAATTACAGAAAGGTGACAAATATTCAAAATATGAACAAGACAAAACAGGAATCGCAAAAGACTTTTTAGTCAAGTGGTGGACCAGAATTGGTGTTAGAACAAGCTACCAAGGGCTTCAAAAAGATAAGTCCCTGTCAAATAAAAGGATTCATCGTTAGATTTACAGATGGTTACTTCAAAGTAATATTGTGGTAAATTGGATGGGTAAACTAGATGGACCCATATCGTGTAAAATTACATCCAATGTTACAGCACAGAAACCAATCATTCATCTCAACCAGTGTTTATTCTCCACATGAGCCCCTCTTAATCTCCTCTCCCATATTCCTCCATTCCCTTTTCCCTGATATATGCATCAAGTTTCCTCTTGAATATGTTGAAGCAGAAAACACAGTTTCTGGCAATGGACATCACATTCTCACCACCCTCTGTAGAAAGAAGTTAATAATAATAATAATCCTTGCATTATCATTTCTTCAAGACGTCTCAAAACGCTTCACAGAATATACTGTAAAGTGAATTGCTGTTTCTATTTGGTGGGTGAAATGCAGCAGCCAATTGCTCACAGTAGTTCCCACAAACAGTCATGGATTGAGTGACAAAATGATTATTAATTTTAAATTCCTCCCTTTTAGATCTGCAGCTGGCTATCTTATATTCATGCCTCCCCTGTTTTGGACTCAACAACAATTGTAAATGGCCTATTAATGTCCACCTTATTCAACCCTTCCATAATTTTAAACACCTCTATCAGGTTTCCTTAATCATCTCATCTCCAGGGAGAAAAGCTCCAACTTGTCCAATCTTTCTTGATAGTATATCGACTCATCTGTGGTAACAAGACATGATAATAACATCCTACTATTATAACCCTCAGTTAACTAAACTGTCAGAGGCTTCACACTTTATATTTTTGTGGTGAAACAAATGCTTGATAAATTTAAAATAATTAAGGTACAGTATGTACACATATATTTCCCTGAAAAAAGTTTACAATACTTAATGATGGAGATTTTTAAGATCCTTTGATATTGTAAAGGTGCTTTGACAGTCTTCATTATAAAACAAGGTTTTTAAGGTGCTACCCAACTAATCTGCTCATTTGACAGAAATTACTACCAGAAACTAGATTCAAATGAATGAGATGCCAGAGAAGAGGGCTCCCATTCCCGAGAGTTAAAATCCTAAATTCCAACCCTCATTTGAAATTCAAAACAGAATATCCTGAACAGGCAAGTTTCCCCATTTCTACCACACATTCCAAGGTGATGAGTATAGTAGAGTTCTCTGGATTTTCAGCTGTGATACTATAACTCATCATTAAAGCATCTGGCCATCAGCCAACCACCTGAATACAATTTCATGCATGAATTAAAAAAGTTTCGCAAATTTAGATAACTTTTCAGTTTCAAAAGGATTAAAAGCTATAGCATCAATGATGTCTATGATACATAGAAGACCAGTTTGTCAATCTCTTATTCAGATATAAATTAATAGACATCAAGTCCTGTGAAATCAGAAAACAAAGGAGGATTTGTTCCAAGACACTCAACTTTTTATGAAGAATACAGTGTGTGTTCTGCAGAATTTGTAATCTACAACGTTAATACACAATTGGCCTTAAAGTTACCCATCCAAAAAATAATCTAATACTAACACAATTTATCAGTGATAGTGAAAGTTTCAAGTAATTGGTTAACCTATTTCAGGTTTAAAATAATAAATAATAAAATAATGGAATTTTTGTTTTTAAAAAAACATTTGCTCCAAATGGAAAGGGCACATAGGCATCACTGCACATGAAGTGGAATAGTCAGGCTCGCATGCACTCATGGTCCATAGAAATATGAGGGAATGCATAATAATAATCCTTGCATTTGACATAGTACCTTAGCACGTCTTCAAGACGTCTCAAAGCGCTTCACAGAATACTGTAAAGTGAATTGACTATATTGTGTTGGCAAAACACGGCAGCCAATTGTGCACTACAGTATCCCACAATAGTCATGGATTGAGTGACCAAATTCGTATTTCTTTATTTTTTTTGAAGGGATTATTAGCCCCAGAAAAGCGATCTGCCAATCGACTAACAACTGGGTTCCTTCTTCCTGCTAGGTAAACAAAGGAGTGTGGAGTAAGGAAACTTGCCTAACATTTCGTCCTACTCAGGTCCTCTTGGTTGCGAGGTAAGCGCTCTAACCAATACGCTACAGGACTCCACGAATACAACAGTAAGGAAAATGCTGTTCTGGTGCCTTCTCTTCTTCCACACTTTAAATCAGACATAAAGCTGTAGCTCTACCATATGATCCCATTGATTTTTTTTCCCTCAATGATCTATTCCTATTTTCTAAATGAACTGCACTTTCATCATCTTTACCCCAAGTACTGGAGGCCCCAGAAAGTAATACAATGAATATGCCCAATGAAATACAAATATTATTTTTTTTACTTCAGGTCAGGAGCAGAGGTTCCTTTGCACTCCTAGCCTTGTGGTTAGTGCACTCGCCTCGGAAGTGAAAGGACCTATGTTCAATTCCTAAGTAGGGGAAAACCTTTGGTTAGTTTTCTCACTCCAGCTTCCATAACAGTAGGTAGGAACCTCGTTGTTACTCGATTGGCGCATTGCTTTCTGAGCATAATAATCCCTAAACAAAAGTCAATCCACTTTCCAATACATTCTGTGAAACATTTTGAGATTCTCAACAATGTGATAAGGCTCTATATCAAATGCAAAGATTATTACCATGCGCTATGTGCTCCAACCACCAGCCAGGTCAAAGGCAGAATAAACTGCTTTAATGTAAAGGTCTGTGTCAGTTTGGAGTTCTGAAATAGAGGAAACTCATTCTGCAGATCTTTCCTGAAAAAAATCTAAATTTTGTGTACCCTTCATTGACACTAATCTTTGAACTAGAGCAATAGAGCAAGTTAAATGTATTGAATGCTGTAAGTGAACAATTGTGAAGAACCAACATCATTCGAAGTGTGAATCGCCACCAAATGTCTACTATAAACAGTGCTGAGGTACTGTGAATCATTAAACCCCCTGCTCCTAACACCACCTGGAGGTTTCAGTTTCACGTGAGATTTGCATTCAGCAGGTGCAAATCACACAGGCATAGTACCTCAGTCAAAGTTCTCAGGTCAACCATCACATGGCCTAGGAACACTGAATGCGTAATTTTTAATTATATTGCAAAGCTGGTTGTGCAATATTAAAAAAAACACCCAATTTGGTGTTTTGGAACATTTAATTGATAATCAGGCATTTAGAATGAATGGTTCACCCCGATTCCAAGAAATGTTGATCAAGATGCATTGCAGCAATCGCATTTCCTGCTTCATATCGCTATCCAGACAGGAGTGAAGCAGTTCTGGATCCAGCAGTATAAATAGAACTAAATTAAACAGTGCTAATTTTAGAATTAATAGCTGACAAGTTGTTGCATTTTCGAAGAGAAAACAAATTCTCAGGACTGTGCAGGCCCCAGTCCTCCCTGTTGTGATCCAAGGCATCATTTCACATCTCCTCCACACTCCCCCCACCGTCTCTCCGCCCCGCCAAACCCATTGGGCAATGATCTTTACTGGAAGCAGGCACCGAGTACACTTGGTTGCCAACTATTCTGTTTAAAGCAACTATATTTACAATATCAGATGATGCACGATTTTAATTTCAACAAACAATTCTTCAACATAGCAATACACAAAACACTTCAAAACACAGGCGACAGGGACGACTTACATGCTTTTGTAACCGAATGAGGAGAAATTGGAGGTTTTCAATCTAGTTCTCAACTAATGTCATCCTTGTTAATTCAAACTATTGAATGCCATACCTTCTGCTTTCCCACTCCTTGCATAACACTAAGATTTTATCGAAACATCTGTATCTTCTCAAACATTCAATATTTGGGGAAAGTCGTGAGTTTTGCTTTGTACCTGCTTTATTGCCCAACAACAAAACAACAACTTGCATTTATGTGGTGCCCCTCACTCAGGGAACTGCTCTTTAGCATCAGTTAAATTTGGTCTGTTACAGTTGCTTACGTAGTGCTTGTTGTGTGAAAATGAGTGTCAAAGCTTCTAAGAGTATAAAAGTACTGCATGTAACAGAATGACATCACCCATTTCTGCACTCGTGCATCAGTTACACTTTCACTGATGCTAACTGTGGAAATAAGTGTCCAATGGAAGAATGATTCCACCACCAAAAAGTAGACTAGCCCGTGAGATAAAGAGTTCTGTTGCCAACCAAACAGCATAA